CGGTCCGTCTATGAAGTTCTAAAAAAAGATCGTCAATAGTTGCTAATACGTTCACTCCGTTCGCACACAGTTTGAGTCCGTTTAACAACATTTTCCAGAACATAGTGAGAACTAGTTTGGTGTGATGGGGGCTTCACTTGAATGTCTTGATCTGCAAAACTTGAAGTGTTGAAGTTGAACGGCAATGAGGAATGACAAGAACGCGCTGCATTTTTATGAGAGCTAGTTTGGTGTGATAAGCCCCCATCACACCAAACTAGTTCTCACTACTTTCTGGAAAATGTTGCCAAAGGGATTCAACTTTGTGCGAACGAATATAGTAAGAACTATTTACGATCTGTTTAAGAACTTCATGGACGGGCTCGGACTGGCTCGGACGGGAGGTGCTCTAGAACTTGTGCCTCATTGTTGAAATTTGTCCCTGTCCTCAAATCAGACGGAGTGACCACGTACTTAAAACGAAATGGGCATATTGCTCCGGTTGTCTCATGTTCGCTTGCTGGAACATTGCCAGCGCAAACCACTGACCTCTACCTCCTGGACGGATCATCGCCAATTCCCATTCACTATACGTTACGTACTAAAAGGCTGTATTGTCTGACCGTTCATGAATATTCATGTTTTTATCTCGGCAAAATGCTTGACTTTACTAAATGGAAAAATTATGGTGGGGGGTTGGATGAAATGGACGCGTGGTAAATTGAGTCCAAAGTTCGACTTGTTGTACATGTATTATATAGGCAATGGCGAGCTTGCGACCTATTTTGATGAAATTACGGTGGGTGAACTTTCAAAATTAAATGAGGCATGAGGGTTCCAATGAAAGAGCTAGTGATAGCGTACGTCGGGGTGGATGGGCTTTTCGCTTAAACAAAAAATGAATTTTTAACGATTTTTTTGTTGTAAACGTCCATAGGCTAACATGTTAGGCTGCTGACTCTGACGATAGGGGGCGTTGTCAAATAGGACTAAACGGAGCTATATGGGTACTACGAACGGACTTATTGCCGTTCTATGAACGGAATTGACGTTCTTCGATCCTACTAGGAACGTTATAACGTGACGTGGTCGAGCATCAATTGGCGGTAGTATAAGCCCCCATCACACCAAACTGGTTCTCACTACGTTCTGGAACCGTCCTAGAATATCGTAAACGGGTTGTGATCGGGATAGTTGTGTAAATAATGTCTATACTATGATCCTAGTTCAAAAACAGTCCTCAATACGTATCAAAACAAGAAATAACATAAGGCGAGGCGTCAAAAATAAATATACCAGCCAGCGGCAGCTAACTGCACTTGTGCGTCCTGGCTGCATTTTTTAAATTAGCTCAGCCGGCTACCGCTGGCGGTAGGACCCTCAATTAACTCATGATGTCATCATAAAGGTCTCCGAACAAAAGCATGCGCCGGCTGCCGCCTTTCGAATGGAAACCGAGCCTCAGATCCCAGCCTGGCGCAAGCCGGCTGGGCTAATAAGTGAAAAGTAATTGCCCCAGCCAGGCTTCGGCCGTAATTGCAGCCTCGATGCGCCAATACGTGAGGCGGCAGCCTGCTGGTATCGATATTTTTGACGCCTCGCCTAAGGAATAACCTGGCTTTTCCAAAAAAAAATTGTCGTATTATTATTCCAAACGGTCTAACGAATATATGTAGTGAATAAGAATGCTTGAATATCAATAATATATGATTTATGGGTAAAAATGTGAATTGTATGGCCTTATTTGCATAAATTACCATAAATATGCAAATAAGTGAATTTTCTAAAAATTGAAATTACCATAGTATTTTATTCACTTTACTTGACATGCATGCATATTTCTGCGGCGATCGGCTGTGAAACGGCCGAGATCTTAGAGGGGTCAAACTGCATGTATTTATTGATTGTTACATTATACATGATCAGAAGCAAATAGCGCAACTTTTGAATGAATACTTTGTTAATGTTGGCATAAATATTAATACAAATATACCTTCAAATAATATAAATGCAGATAAATACTTACATGGTGACTATCTTACTTTATTATTTCTTACTGACATACGGACGGTCGATGTTGTACATATAGTACTAGGACTAAAAGATGGCAAGAGTCCAGGATATGATGATATTGACTCCAAAGTTCTCAAGAAATGTATTATAATCGTTATGCCTTTAACTTATATTAATAATGTATCTCTACAAAGTGGTCACTTCCCGACAAGTTAAAAAATAGCCAAAGTTTTGCCTATTTATAAGGGTGGAGAAAAGAATCTAAGTTCAACTATCGACCTATTTCTCTTTTGTCAATTTTTGCCAAAACCTTCAAAACAATTAGTTCACACTAAATTGATGTCATTCATGAATAAATATAATATTCTATATAACAGGCATTTGGGTTTCGTTCAGGACATTCTATTGCCCTGGCATTACTAGAATTTTTATGCCTCCGTTACGAAGTAGCCGGAGGCATTATGTTTTCGGGTTGTCCGTCCGTCCGTCCGTACGTCCGTCCGTCCGTCCGTACGTCCCGTTCTCGTGATCGCGTTATCTGAAGAACCGATTGATGGATCCCTGCCAAACTTTGGTCATGTATGTATCTTGCAGAGCCGATGAACTGATTAGATTTTGGGGTCACGAGGTCAAAGGTCAAGGGTCACAGGGGTCCTTATGTATGCAAAAACAGCTTGTGATCGCGTTATCTGAAGAACCGATTGATGGATTGCTGCCAAACTTTGGTCATGTATGTATCTTGCAGAGCCGATGAACTGATTAGATTTTGGGGTCACGAGGTCAAAGGTCAAGGGTCACAGGGCTCATTATTTATGCAAAAACAGCTTGTGATCGCGTTATCTGAAGAACTGATTGATGGATTCCTGCCAAACTTTGGTCATGTATGTATCTTGCAAAGCCGATGAACTGATTAGATTTTGGGGTCAGTAGGTCAAAGGTCAAGGGTCACAGGGCTCATTATGTATGCAAAAATAGCTTGTGATCGCATTATCATTAGAACAGATTGATGGATTCCTACCAAACTTAGATCATGTATGTATCTTGCAGAGCCAATGAACTGAGTAGATTCTTGGGTCATGAGTTCAAAGGTCAAAGGTCATGGGCTCATTATGTATGCAAAAATAGCTTGTGAACGCATTCTCATTAGAACTGACAGATGGATTACTATTTAACTCAATACATCTTGCAGAGCCAATGAACTGAGTAGATTTTAGGGCCATGAGGTCAAAGATCAAAGGGTCATATATGTATATGAGAAATTGCTTGTAATCACGATATTCTGAGAACCTGTTAATGGATTACAATTGAACTTGAATTTAAAAAAAATCTTCTGTTTTGGTTTGAAAAATTGCTCTTTGACGGAGGCATCATTTTCGACTGCGCGCAGTCGAAGTTCCATCTAGTTTGATAATATAAATAATGCCTTTGAAAGTATACATATGACCTTTAGTATCTTCCTTGACCTTTCTAAAGCATTTGATAGTATCAATCATGGCATATTATTAACAAATTAGAATATTATGGAATATAGAGTCTATGTCTAGAGTGGATAAAAAGCTATTTGAATAACAGAAGTCAGTTTGGTTACTTGGGTGCTGTCAAGTCGTCTTTACTCAAGATGTATGTAGGTGTACCCCAAGGTTCCCTTAGGGCCCCTTCTATTTCTGCTTTACATTAATGATATGCAATATGTTACTCAACTCATTTGCCCTACAATATTTGTGACCTTGTTTTTAAAAGGGAAAAGTATAAATGAATTAAATGCCATTCTTTGTAAGGAAATTCCAAAAATTTACCAATAGTTTGCAGCGAACAAGCTTATGATCAATTAAAAAAAACCTCAATGTATAGTGTTTAAGAAAAAAATGTAATATCTTAATCATCAATAATTACAAGATTGATAGAGTATACTGCATACAATATCTTGGTATTGTTGTAGACAATAGCCTGACTTGGTCTTGTCATATTGATGAAATCATGGGGGAAATAGCACGTGCCATTGGAGTATTGTATAGAATTAGGCCTTTCATTTCTCGGGGATTTTTAACCAATTTATATAACACATTGATCTCGCCATATCTTATTGTAATACAGTATGGGGAAAATGTTCAAATATTTTAATAGATAGGCTATATGTATTACAAAAAAGAGCTCTGCGTGTAATAACAAACTCTCATCCCAAAACACCAAGTGATCCTCTTTTTAAGAAACTTAAAGTATTAAATATTTTTGACATTTGTTAATTGCAAACTGCATTATTCATGTACAAATATTTCAACAACTTGTTGCCTCAGGTTTTTAATAATATGTTCATGTTAAACTCTGAAATATAATACCAGATTTTGCAATAGACCATGTGTGCAGTTGTTAAAGTACGAGTCGTACAGACAGACAGTCCGACACTTGGGACCTCAACTATGGAATTCATTACCTGATGATATAAAAAAAACAGCCGATCGCTTGCCTCTTTCAAACGCAAATATAAACAATGCTTTTGAAATGCTAAAATATGTTGATTTTTTTAAAGTTACTACACCACCTGAAGTATTTATGCTCAACTATTCTTTGTGTATACTTTTCCTTCACACAGACCGCCTGTTTCCTTTTTGTTGTGCACTTAATTATGTTTTGTACTTACCTACATTTATATATATTTAATTATTCCTGGAGACCAGCCCTTAATAGGTGAATGGCCTCAGTTGGCTCCACCAAAGTCTCAAGTATTAATTTTAGGTGCTCTAAATTTCTTTAAATATTGTTATGCTCTTTTCTTGTTTTGTTTTGTTGTGTTAATCAGATATTGTATGTAAATTTTTATATGTTTTATTATGAAGAGTGGACATAAATGAAATGATTTTAAAATCTTCACAAATACAAATCAAAATTTCTATATGAAAGTTTAACCTTTACTGATTTTTCAGGGGGCATTACTGACAAATTTTAGGAAAAATTCTTCATTCCAGCAATATTGGAGAAACTAAGATGAGAATTGAAGTTGGTTTGCACACTCACTTGTCCCACTCAGTCAGGCCATTTGTGTAGATCGACTCGATGGGTAGAACCTGTTGGAGCCCTCTAGTGTTAGCAAAGACCTCCTTAGCTTTAGTGACTGTGGTGGTAAGGACGCAGTTCATATCTGAGGCCATATGCCATGATAACACAAAGGCATCGTTCTCTTCTTCTACCTCAACCAGGTGTGCTACCTATGGAGTAGGGTGGATTTAGAGAACGGTTAAATAAATAATATAAATAAATATAAACGCAAGTTACCACTTTTACATTTAACTACACAATTAGTTACTAAACATTCATAATACAATTATATTATATAAATGAAAAAGGTACAAGACAAACATAACTACTTACCTTTCCAAGTATTTCACCATCCCGTGTCTCATATCGCGGCATCCCGCATTTCCTTCTAGGTTTGTTCCTCAACTGTTCAATTGATTTTTGAGTAGATATCATTAATTCTTCCGATCCTTTTCTCTACAACATGAAACAGAAGGAAATTGTTTACATAGGTTGCTTATTTCTCTAAATCTGACATTAACTACTCATTTGATAACGTTTTCTCTTGTATGAAGTAGATTTGCTTTATTGAAGTGGCCATCTACATTTATCTAACCTTTCAATCCCCTTCCAACTTTCTTTGCATTATACCACTTGAATTGTTATTTCAATTCTTCTGCCTACCAATCTTAAGATTTACTATATTTCAGAATTTTCGCAAAATATTTTTTAGAAAATGTTTAACACAAACAACGCAGCTGACTAGCAAGCACATAAATTAAGCTATTCGTTATACGACGTGAGCAGAACATGCAGTCTCCTAAGTGCAAATATGAGTTGTGCTCTCCAGGGAAGCTGATTTCCAACACATGTTTAAAAGTTTGTACATATTTTGTTGATCAAAAAGACTCTGGATATCCTATTTCATCACTACACCTCAAGATTTTTTTTTATAAATAGCAGCCTTCCCTGCAGGAACAGACTGTAGCCAACTGCACTAATTCAGTCTTACGAAACCACAGCCGGGAAAAGACAATTTTGTGAATTCTCTAATGATAATTCCTGCCTTTGAGCTTGAGGTACATTGTGTTCTCACCGTTGCTATCTGTGCATCCCGGACTCCATATATTCTCAACTCTTCTCGTAGCTCGAGCTCATTCTTAGCAGCATCTTCAGCAGATTCTGTATAAAAAAAAACACACACAAAGTGAATGGAACACAAAACATGGAACTAAATATTGTTTTCCCTATGGATAGATTTTTTTTAAAGGGTAAACCGTACTTCTTCAAAATAATCTAAAGTTCTTACTCTGTGGAGTAATGAAGTAAGACACCTGTGGACCCACTCTTTGTCCATGCATAAAACTACTGTGTTATGGGTACATACAAAACAATAACGTATACTTCAAATTGGGTACACATTTCTTCAACTATCCTTAACTTCGTATTATAAGATAAAATATGACTAACATGTAATTAAAAAAAATCCGGTCCCACATTTGGTGCACGCATACAAAACTAAGAAATTGTTAATTGAAAGTTCCATTCAAATTTTGCAAACGTTGGTCCCATTATAAATAGCATAATTACACATTTTTTTAACTTTTTAATATCGGGTGAATACAAGTACAAAGGGGACAGCTCTTTCCTGTGGTGTTGATCAGAGGACATAGTTATAGGGAGGGGGTAGTTGTCATATGTGTAAGGAGAGAAATGGGCTCTTGTAAGAAAATGCTCTGGATGAGGCTTTTTCTTTAATCATTGTGCTTGTCATTTCCTCTATTCTCTCTCCGCAGAATCACATTTAACTCCCTCCCCCGTATCATAACAAATTCCTAGACATGCCCCTGTTAGCCATTACCTTTGCAAATCTGTAGAAGCTGTCGTTTCCCTTCAAACATTTTTTTGTACCTCCTGATAGAAGCAGTGAGTGTGTCTCTCTCCTTCGACAGCCGAGACATCTGTTGCTGCTTCTTGGCATCTGGGTACAGGAATAGAAATTGAGTGTCACGGATTTAACATCCAAGAATTGAAAGAAGAAGAAGAAAAAAATCACATATTAGAAGAAAATCAGTAAAAAATACCTTGCTTTGTATCCTGCATGAGCACGAATTCACATTCTTAAAATCAAAACATTACTTTTTTGGGGAAGGGTGGTATTTTCATCCCAAGAGGAGTACAATTACAAATTCACCATCATCGTAATCGCCACCGTCATTAACATCATATTACCACCACCATCATCTTAATCATCATCGTCATCATCATCATAAACACCATCATCATCAACATCATCGATATCATCGTTGTCATCCTGCTTACCCCTATACTAACCTGGAAAAAGATCCCTAGCAATGTAGACATCCCCCTCTCTGTAGTCCAACTGAAGTTTTTGTGCCTTCTTGGGATCTGGCTTGAGTTGGACAGCGAGACCAGAACTCGATAGGGATGACCTTTCCATGGACATCTTTGCATGTAGCATGTACTTTCCACTGTTAGGTTACAAGACAACAGAGACAGATGAGATGTTTGTTTCTAAATTCATCTTGTATCCGTCGTACAAAGAATTTGCGTAATCGGTTCATTGTGCATCATGTGATGAAATACAATTCACAAGGGCTTCTTGCAATTGAGCACATAACCATAAGGTAACATCAGTTGTCACGAACCATGATTAGTTCTACATTTACTATTCATAAATACTATGAGGGGCGTACGCAGGGGGGGGGGTTTGGGGTTCACCCCCCCTTTGGTATTTTTATGTGTGTAAACCCCCCTAAAAAAACTAAACCCCCCCCCCTTTGTTTTTTGTTTTTAATTAAATTTTAAAAAATTATGCCCACGGCTAACGTAAAGTGACCTTACCCCCCCCCCCCCCAACGAAAAAAAAAGTCAAATTTTCAAATTCCGAGAACAAAAAAAAAAGTGTCCGCTTACCCCCCCCCCCCCCCCCCCCCCCCCCCCCCCCCCCCCCCCCACTGAGCGACTTTTCGGCCGGCGCGATTTTCAAATTTTCGGGAGCAAAATATTTTGGGCCAGATTTTAACCCCCCCCCCCTTGAAAAAATCCTGCGTACGCCCCTGAATACTATACATGCATAATTATATGACATCACAAACAAAAAATGCATACTGTATTGGGATTTGGGATGTCATAAATTGGCATGTATCTACTGTTTTAGGCACCAGCATGCGATCATATCATCCCTATGTGTTTGATACCGTAAGTTGCAGATTATCATTAGTATATTAGTAGATCACGGCTTTACTTAAAGGTAATGGACATACGCCAAATATTTACTACCTATATTATTATGATTAAACTGTATCCTTTGTAATTTAGGTGCCCGTTTTCATTTGGGGCTGTGCATATCCATTTAGTCATGCCATCATGCATGTCATATCAATAGAAGTATATATTTGTCTAATATCTGAGCTTACGGAAAGGTTGTGTCTGGAAGAAACTGTCATGCATGGAAGTGGTATGAGAAGTGGATTGAGATAGATGGGTCATGTGTTGAAAAGGGGAGATGGAAAAACCTGTGAAAAGAATTTGGGATCTGGAAGTAGATGCCATAATAGGGAATTATATAAAGGAAAAAATGGAGAAGAAAGAAAGCAGTAAGGTTGGTGTAAATGAGAAGGATGCTCAAGCCAATAAGTGGTGGTATAATTGCTAGTTTTTTCTTTAACAGTTAGATCATACAAACGATCTCAAACAGCAATTACGGTAAAAAATATCTTTTTTAAAGTGAGTGGTCCGCAAACATTTTTTTTTTAATGTAGCACGACATCCATCAGAGTTAATCATCAAATCATGACAGTATATATTTAAGCCTGAAATCCACCACTCTACTTGATAGATAACATGAATCTACACACCAGGGACCGGATAAGGTAAGCTTCCCAAAGGTAACTCGACCATCACTGTCTGGCCTTGCTGTCAGAGGTACAGTTGACGATACCTGCATACAGCAAACAAAAATAACGCATGGTGACGTGACTTGATACACTCATGAAAAGGAAAAATAACAAAACACAAATCTATTTATTTCATATAACTAAAATTAGGCAGTTGAATCAAATGTTTTAACCCATCCTATTAATAAAGAACTGACAAAATGTTTCATAAATAAGAAGCAGCCCAGCACCGTTCAGTTTTGTATTTTGAGAGTTGTACTGAAATGTTGTGGTGTAGCGATTCATTCACTGGACTGCCAATCCAAGGGTTAAGGATTCGATTCACTGCCCGGCACTTACATCCTTTGGCAGACATTAATTACTACTTGCCACTCTCCAATCAGGTGTAATTGGGTACCAGGTATTCTAGAGCGCTACATAATTGATTTCTCTACCCCCTCTAGCCCTCTCCCTTTTTCTTGTCTATCCCACTTGTTCACAGCGTCCCCACTTTATCTTTCTATCCCTTGTTTTATATATTTTGTATTACTTTATTTGACTTCTTTTTGCGTTTTTCTTATTTTCCATTATTTTTCTTATTTTCCATTCTTGTTCATCATCATTTCTTACGCACCATTTCTCTTTTCTTAATTGGTAACCTTGCAATTACTCTTTCTTTCCTCTTAAGTAGTGCTTAAATAAGTACTAATCATTTCATTTAATTTATATACATTTGGTTATGCTAAAGCACTTTTCCCTCATTTCATAATTGTTAACGCTATGTTTAGTAAAATGTATCACTTAAAAATAAACCGCGTAAAATCACATGCTTTTGTAAATACCTTGGCCCGTATTCTGAAGTCGTGTCTAACTCTTGTTTAACTAAACAGGTTTCTAAGTCCTGTCTAAGTCCCGTCTAACTTTAGACACGAAGTCGTGTCTAACTTTTTTCGTATTCTGGGGCGGTATTCTGAACCCTGTGTTATCTCTAATATTGTTGTATCTTTGAAGATAAGATACAGTTGGTATTCTGAACATTGTTGTAACTTTTGTGTTATCTTTTGTTGTATCTTTTCTCTCATTATATTGGCCGCGCCTGCGCTCATACTTTGGTGCGCTTGTAATTGTGCGTATTATTAATAAAGTGGCATTTAATCCTGATTTGCATATGCGCACGGGAGATAATATGTCGAGATAATTGTTATTCTGAAAGTTGTTGTATCTTTTATCTTATCTTATCTTGCATGGTATTTACAACAATATTTACAACAGGTAGGGGGTTGTTGCATCTTTCGTGGTGATATAATGGCGGCAATATTTTTTGCCCAAAACCAACTTCGTGCCAATAGACGAGTTAGAAAAAGATTGTGTGTTGACCGGAAACATCACAGATGAGAACTTTCTAAGATATAACATGCTAGGATATGACGATTTTAATGCTCTCATCTTAACCATTATAGTGAAAGCGTGATTTGTCTTCATGATCCACATTCAACAGCGCATAATGATGACGCGCGTAATAAGTGCTCAAATAACTAATTACGCCCAAGATTAGTATGCGCTGACTTCAAACAATTCATTTGCGAAAAGTTTGGAGGGATACATATTCTTTCTGACAAGATTGATGCAGCTGCGTATCAAAATGGTATAGATGTGTATCTCAGGCTTTTTACATTACTGTATGCAGACGATACAACAGTTCTTGCAAAAACTGAAAGTGATCTTCAGCTTGCTCTTGATGCAGTATCTGATTTCTGTAAAAAATGGTTTCTTCAAGTTAACCCATTGCCTACTGGAACCTGGTGACTACTGTACTAAAGCCTATGGGAATGAGATAATTCAGTAGCCAACGGGTTAACACAGCTAAAACCAAAGTTGTTGTAATTTCTCGTGGTAAAGTTCGAAAAATTCCTATATTTAAATTTGATCATGATATTGTAGAAGTTGTTGATGAATACGTATATCTTGGAACTACTTTTAACTACAACAACAAATTTCGTAAAGCACAAATTAAGCAACTTAATCAAGCTAGACGAGCAATGGATAGTCTATTATCTAAAACTTACCAACTGCACTTACCTATTGATATCCTCTTGTAATTATTTGATCAACTTGTGTTGCCTATTCTGCTCTATGGAAGTGAGATATGGGGATTTGAAGTGCTACATGATCTTGAAATTTTCCACATGAAATTTTGTAAGCAAGCCCTTTCTGTCAACAAAACAACTGCAAATTGTATGGTACTTGGTGAATTGGGGAGGCTTAAACTTGAGAAATATATCGAAAGCAGAATGATAAACTTCTGGTGTAGGATTGTACATAGTGGACAGGATAAATTTTCTGGTAAGGTGTATATTATTTTAAAATTACTCTTTGAGAAGAATATATATCAGGCACCTTGGTTAAAAAAAAATCAAGCTGACTCTGGACAATATGGGGATGTCTAGTTTATGGGAAATTTGTGAAAATACTAGCTGTGAGTGGGTCAAACAAACTGTGGAATGTCGATTGAGAGATTCTCATGCTCATGGTCTGCTTGTATGTACGATAATTCGCATTGTGTTAACTATCGAATCTTCAAACATTCTTTATGTTTAGAAAGATACTTAATCGATCTCATTAAAACAGATCGGACAATATTAAGTCGTTTTCGCTGTGGCAATCATTACCTGCCGATTGTAGCTGGTAGATATTCAAATACTCCAAAGGAAATGAGGCTATGTACGCTGTGCAATTTGCAATCGCTTGGGGATGAATTTCATTACTTGTTTGTATGCCCTACCTTTCGTTCAGACAGAAAATTGTTCATCGATAAATATTTTATTGACAGACCAAATACACTGAAAATGGATCAGCTTTTTAACTCCAATAATGTACAAACACGTTTAAACTTAGTAAAATTCTGTCGAAAAATAATGCTTCGTTTTCATTAATTAATGTTTGTGCAAAAAACATGGTATGAGTTCAATATTAACTTTTTATCTTATATCAATTTATTAAATTGATATCAAGAACATTTTCAGTAATTCATTAATTCAGATATCAATTTACTGGTGCCAGTAAATCTCTTTTTCAATTGCTTCCATTAATTTCGTCATTAATTATCGTTTTAATTAATATTACCGTTTTGTTTTTGATTATTATTATTATTATCATTATCAATATTGTTATTATCATTATCATCATAATTTTTCTCACTATTGTCGATAGTGTTATTTTGTATGGATTAACATTAATTCTATTTGTATTGTATATTTCACAGTGTTAAATTGACAAATTCAAACTGATTGTAAACTTCTCCAATACCCCATTGTGGGTGACATGAGAATAAATTGTCATTGTCATTGTCATTGTCATTGTCATCTTCAGATATGGCATAAAGTATTCCTATTGGTTGACCTATTTATCATGCTTATATAAAATAGATTTTGATTGGTAGGGTCCATAAAAATGGGCGTGTCATCAATGGTCAAAGATAAGATAGAGGCGGTCCTTCAAGAGATAACACAGGGATAAAACAATGTTCAGAATACCAACTTACAACAATATTAGCGCTGTGTTATCTCTGGAAGATACAACAAAAGATAGCACAAAACTTACAACAATGTTCAGAATACCGCCCCTGAAGTCGTGTTTGAATAAAGTTAAACACGAAGTCCTGTCTAAGTCCTGTTTAACTTAATGCGGTGGTCACATCCCGCCGTACTTGCAAGTGCGTGCTGTCTACGTGCAAAAACGTGGGCAAAATTTGGGTATCCGTACGTGTTGAGCACGCAGACACACCGTAGCACTTTTAGTGCACGAGGAACTTTCGCTGCGTTCGGGCTGCGTTCGAGCTACCGATTCACCCCAGTGCGTGTGACGTGCGTGCCCGGTACTGCCAACGAGCGCACAACGCACTGACTCCGTGCGTCTTTTAAAGGCGCACGTGGTAAGTGAGTGGTCCGTGCTTACTCGCCACTTCCCCAGTTCAGCTATCAAATGAGCACGCAGAACTCACGTGGACCGTACCGAGTAAGCACTTACAACGCACGTTGTTCGCACTGATGTATGCAGTATATAGTCTCTTCGGTGGAATGGGCGGCATCTTGAGGCAGCAACAGCTGGGACTTCTGGAGAACATCGGAATGTCGTCCTATATAAACACCGAGTTCATCGCACGTGCACGCACTTACAACATGCGAGTGAGCAAGGACACCGTACGTGAGCAGCACTTGTAAGTACGGCCTCCGTACGATAACGTGGCAACCGCACGGAGACCGTACGTTGTAAGCACGTTGTAAGCACGTACAACGCACTTACCACGTGCGCAACGTACGATGCACGCAACCGTTCACGGCCAGGCGTGGCGTGCGGGCCACGTACTTACACAGTGCGTGTGACGCGCGTTGCCGGTACTCCCTCCCTGCCTTTGCCACTCCCTCTCTACGTTTTCAGAAAAACGTGGCGGCCGTGGCCTCCCCAAAAACCGTACGGACTAAAAACACGCACGGTGGGATGTGACCAACGCTTTAGACAACTGCGAGGGGTTGTTTAAGTCTTGTTTACGGGCGCGATTCTGCTGCTTTTCAACGTCGACGGTACACTCTACTTGCTGACCCCGAACTTGCGGGGGAGAACGATGGTACGTGCACTCTCTAAAATTTCAAATACGTTTTGCAGGATTTTTTCTCGTGTAGCCTAATTTTTTTCCTCGATAATATTAACTATTCTTATCTACTGGTGACAACTTGGAAATTCCATAATCTATAATAAACGAACCATTCTGTTGGAGACGTTTCTTTTCTGGTTCTTCCGAGCACTGAGACATTGATAAGTAGTGTGTTTGCCAATTGAGATCTCAGTGCAGTGCAGTGTACAGTACGTGTGTGCTGCACGTACACACAGTATAGTACATGCAGTCTAGTCATTACGTCACGATCACATCACCATGGTACCAGCATGCGCATTGGGTCTATCGTCAGAATTAACGCCTACTGGGCATGCGCAGAAATCGTGAATAAAAGTTAAGCACGACCTGCGCAGTTGTTTAGTTAAACACCACTTAGACAGGACTTAAACAGTTGTTTAGTTAGACGAGACTTAGAAAAGACTTCCGAATACCAAATTAAGTTAGACAGGACTTAGACACGACCTCGTGTTTTAGTCCTGTCTAACTAAACAGTTGTTTAACTTTAGACGTGGCTAAGTTAGACACGACTTCAGAATACGGGCCCTTATGTTTTATCTAGATAACCTAATTTATATACACAACCATTACTTGGGACCTACATAACACAAGCTTTGCTTTTTAGTAGATCCCCCACTTTATTTAGCTTTTTTTCTTCAATGTATTTGTCATACTTATGATTGTATCCTTTGTCATAACTATTACCCTGTACATTATGTTTCATATACTGTATGTTTAGTTATAATTATTACCTTGTATATTGTGTTCAATTATGTTATTTTCGATAATTGGAAACTAATAAACTTGAATTAGTAACTTGAATTAGTCGCTCAGATATGACTGATGTAATAATATGAGAGCACAAGGAGCATCATATAATGATGGATATCTGAAGTATATAAGAGGCCATCATCATTACATTTTATTATTACAATGGTTATACATGTATCTACAATGTCTGACGTGGATCCTACGGCCAAGGAGATTAGGGAACCACTGATGCATTCATCTAAGAAAATGAGAAAATGTTAACAAATGGTAAAATGCAACACTTACCTTTAGTGTCTTGTCATATTGCAGTGAGATAGTTTTGTCAACATCGAAGATATCATTACCAGATTCATCACAAACTTGAAAGCCCAATGGATTGCTGATCTGGACGCCGTCATATGCTATCAGTGTCTAAAAAGAAGAGGAGCATGATTGTCACCATCGTTGTCTTTCTCAGCATTGTCTTCAGACTACAAGATCACCATGACAAAAATTATTACCATTAACTACATAAACATCATGTACTCCACCAACACAATCCTTCATCTTCCTGCACCCACTGAAAGCACCAAGCACACATATCTCTACCTTTTGAGTCCAAAACATATTTCTGAGCACCTTTAACTCCCCATACAAACCAATGCTCCTACCTCACATCCCAATATCCTCCACAGCAACTAAAACTTTCATCTACCTGTTGCTCTGATAAATGCTCCCACAACAATTGTTCTAGGCTATATTTCATCAAAGATATAGGGTAAGGGTTGCAATTGGGTTTAGCGTCAGGTTTAGGGTTAGGGCTAGGGTTAGGTATAGTATTTAGTCCAGGGATGAAGTTAAAAATTCAGTAAGTGTAGGATATGGCCAAAGTTTTCATCGAAGTGGTTCTCTGACATATGATGCAATGACAATTGCACCTGGTTTCATTTCGTCAAAGATATAGGGTTCAGTTTGAGGTTGTCATCGGATTTTAGGTTAGGTTTAGGGCGCAGAGTAGGATTAGGTACAACAGGCATTCGGTCTAGGGTTGACATTTTGAATTCGGTTAGTGAACAAAACTGACACAAAGCATGGCTGGATCATTAAGTGCCGTACAACCACCGGAGCATGTGTTATTTAACCCCGTAGCCACCATACCTCATTTTGCATCCAGCCCATAACAAGCAGCTTTGCCGGTCGACCAGGAAGTACCTCTAACGTGATGTGATCCGTGAAGTCGTTGTATTTCACCACAACCACCCTGACCCCTACCGCGTCAAACTTGATGTTCCGGAGGCCGAAGCCCACGTTAGGTAGAAGGACTTTCTGCAGGACTTTAGTGTCTAGATCCTCTGCCTTCACAATGAGGTTGCTCAGGGAATCATGAGGGAGCTGTAAAGGGAACAAGAGAATCTTAGCGATATGACTTTGCTGCATGTCAATTTAGAACTGTCGATTGCCATCGGAGGCATTATCTCAATTTTAAAAATAATTTTTGGAACAAAAAAAGCAGTCAAAATAAATTATGGGACACAACATTTTTATGAGTATAGTGAGTGATGGGGCTACATAATTTCTTTGAAAATAGGTACCTTTGACTTTGGAGCCTGACATAGCATCCAGGCGCGAACGCAGGGTGGGGGGTGGGGGTTGAACCCCCTCCCCCTCTTTGGTAATTTTTATGTGTGTATTTTGGAGGAAACCCCCCGCCTTTGGTAATTTTGTTTTTAATAAAAAAAATTAAAAAAAATTATACCAATGGCTGACCTAAAAAGGTTGACCTTACCCCCCCCCCCCCAACGGAGCAAAATGTCAAATTTTCAAATTTCGAAACCCCCCCCCCCCCCCCAAAAAAAAAAAAAAAAAAAAAAAAAAAAAATGTCCACTTACCTCCACCCCCCCTTATTCAGCGGCTGGCTGAGTCGTTGCGAAATTGTCGGCCCGATTAAAAAAATTTAAATCCCCCCCCCCCCCCCCCCCCCTTGAAAAAATCCTGCGTACGCGCCTGATAGCATCGATGTCTCAAGTGGCTCTACGACTTATGTATAAAGCAGTATGGTACAAACTTTATGAATTGAACATTTTCCATGGGACCTATTCCTCCTCTCTTACCTTCTTCGTACTGTTACAATAGGCATCAGTGACATGGACGACTATATCACCGTCCAAGGTCTCTCCAAGCTTCACCTTTGTACTTGTTTTGTTTTGACACTTGATCTGCGTTGCCTCGCCAGGGATTGGCCTGAAAAAATTAACATTTGTAAAGATTTTGAACATTTATGTTTGTTTGTTTGTTTTACCTTACTGCTAAAAAAAAGTATAATTATGCATGCTTGTAAATAAGCAACTAGGGGACCAACAGCTTTTAGTCCTCTCCGAGGGACTCGATAATGAGGATTAATGCCCTACCAAACGGTACTAGCGCAAAAAATAACAGTTGTAGAGAATTTGAACATTCATGTTTGTTTGTTTGTGTGACCTGACTACTAAGAAGGAAACTTACATGCTCGAATGTAAGTAACAAGTGGACCGACAGCTTTAAGTCTTCTCAGAGGAAGTTGGTAATTGAGGACTATCTCCTTTAAAAAGGGCACTAGAGCATCGACTTGGTTTCGAACCCTGGACCTCCTGGTTTCTAGATCATGGCACTGCTCTACCGTTGACTCATCATGCCTCCTTGCCAAGTGTAAAACAAAACCAGCAACAGCAATGTTCCCGGATTTGTGTACACTTGTTTTAATCTGATTATTAATTCAGTTTGGTATTTTTATTCACTTAGTATGTTTACAAAATTGTTTTTTTACAGGGTAGTTATAAAAGTGGGTTCTGGGATGTTTTTGGATTGCCTACATTCATTTACTATAAGCAGCTAAAATAACAGTATTTTGTCAATGTAGCCAAATATTACCACAAATAAGTCATCACTTAAAGCTTTTGTAATACAGAGTACAATCCTGCTCATTATATCTTCACGTCGTTGCAGTATGTACATCTGTTTTTACAATACTCACTTGATGTTGAAGGAAAACTCCAGGCCTGATCCATCGGTGATTCTCAGCTGACAGAACTTGGAATCTCCCACCGTATTGGGGACCTTGATAGGGGGCAAGTACCCCTCCATGAGGGTGGAGGGGTTGAAGCTGGGTAACCAGTTGAACTTGAACTTGTTTGCCAGCTCCTTGGTAATCTTCATGTGGTTGTTACCCTCATCAAACAGAGCAAAACCTGACAAACAGAAAATAAAGCGTACAGTTTCATGTTATTCTATTTTCTATTTTATTTCCCTTCCCAGAACATAAAGCAGTATAACAATAACAAAGAATACATAAAAAAGGACAATTAGAAATAAAATAACAAAAGAAAATAAAACCATCAACTGATGGTGGATTACCAAATCTAATAAATTTTCTGCAGAAGGCTCTCCTCATTAGCTGATGGTATAGTACATACATACACAAACTTGAATAAGATATACATAGGTCACTATCAAGAAGAAGCAAAAGACAAATCATTAGATCATAAATATAAAACGAGTACACGTTGCGCATATCATAGGAACGCCTTGAATCCACATGACGTGGTAAACTACCTTTAAAAGAAAAAACAAACAACAGCAAGCCTCACATTTCTGATAGTAATATCTTCAACTAGCTTTGAAACTATAGGACAACATAATTATGATGAGGTAATTTGTCCAAATTTGAAAATCTGTGTTTCTGTGTATCCCTCTCGGTATACTGTCCTCATTTGGCAATTCCCGAATCGAATAAATAGGGATTAATTAACACGAACAAAATATTCTTTGAAAATCTTATCTTTGCAGATAAGAGTATAATGTTTAAATATCAGCCCTTTTTCAATAGTTTTAACAGCGTTTCTAATTGATAATAGAATCTATCCCTTGAAATATATGACTGTTCTCTACTCACTGATCTGTGATGTATCCTCTCCGGCCGTCCACTCAATATCTCCTTTGGGTTTCACCTCGACAGGTTTTTTCTTTGGGTAATCAAGGTACTGGTGTTGGCAGAAGAATACCTTGATCTTACAGGCACTTGTGCTAGGTTTGACAGTGATGGCTTTCTCTACAGAGCTGACTCCTGGCATGTGCTAAGGGAAGATCAAATCAGAGGTGACTATTCTAACGTGTCAGAGACCAGGTGATGTAAATGGGTACCTGGCAGGAATTAATTCCTTGAAATGCTGGAGCGCTGTAATGGCAGCTAGGTTAAAGCCGAGGTAATAATAAATGCGCCTTGGAATAGAATTTCTAGATAGACGGCGCTATAAAAATGGATATTATTATTACACGTAGTCCTTCAAATGTGATGTAAAGTTTTTTTTTTTTTACTGGAACTCCTTAAAAAGATAATTTTCTCCTTCATCGATCAATTCATTTTAATCCATCACAATACTTTTGATTATCACTATGTTATAACACAGGTTAGAAGGAAAGTATCCATACAATAGACAGGAAATACATGATTAAACGGCAATGCGTTGGAGAATAATAGGGTTAAAATCATTTTGAGAAAGGTTGTTACATTCAAATGATTGGTTACGGAGTTCCCATCTTACCGGTAGTTCAATTCTGGCAGTGATCTTCTGAGATTTCTTAGAGATATTCTTGATGAAGATAGGGCTACCGGTAAGAGTAGCCTTTCCTGAGTTACTGCACTCTGCTTTGTATGAAGGCAAACCATCCGCACCATGAAACTAATGGAATAAAAGATGAGGGTTGGACATAGGATTTTGGATTTGTACAGGTTTTGCAATGGCCCTTCATTCTCATATCACAAAGGCCCTAATTCGGGATGAAGATTTAAATTTAAACAACTGTCTACACTATGGTTTAATCCTTTACTTTGAATTAAAGTAAATATAAATTAGCAAACATTGCCTGCTCATTTGATTAAAGGACACATACTTTATTGAGGTTTAAATCATGGTTTAAAATTAATATTGGTAAACCTCCTTCATTAAATCCAGTCCTGCAGTATTTACAAATCAAAAAAGACACTTTAGGCTCTCAACGTAGTCATTTATGAGATATCAAGAACATTATATAAAAAATGTGGCCTGTTGTATAAAAGTTTTGAGTATGAAATCATCCATCTCAGCACACCAGATATCAGTCGCACCCAACTAGGTCGCATCTCAGAACTAAATAAATCGGACAACATAAGTTCTGATTGAATGGAACAATCACCAATCTGTATCAAACACAAGCCCAAATGAACCTTACTGACCTACATGTATATAACCTATTACCTAAAATTCCTGGCACATAAAACATGTACTGATTTAGACATTTAAAATGTAAAATTCCTTCTAAGTGGAACTTAGGAACACTTTTCACCATACTAGACTGTGATGGAAAGAAATAATTTCCCATACCTTGCACTGGACTACAAGTTTTGGGTGCACTGAGAAGTTCCCTGCTCTGTCTCTGATCTCCACCGATATAGGAAGCGCTTTGCCGTTCTCTATGAAGAGGTTATCAGTTTCTTCAAATGTTGGCACAATGATCTTATGTGGCTCACCTGTAGAAAATAATAGAATTGTATTGCTCTAAAATAATAATAACTATATTGACAAGAACAACAACCACTCCAACAACATCATCGACAACAACGACAACAACAGCCCAAAGATAAAAGAGCTCTAGCTTTAAAGAAAAAAATTGCATATATCATGCTCAAGTCACCTCTAAAGTACTATTCTAATCCTGGCTTTAGCCAAGCTGACTCAGAGTGCTAAGAGCATTGAGAAATGCTCTCCGTGCAGTGGAACATGTGCGCTATCATGTGCAGATTAGCAAGTGAATCCAATAAAATGGTAATAATAATAACAATGTAAAGCTCTTAGAAACCTAGTATGAGGGGCTATACAAATGTGACTAGTATTGTTATTATTATCTCATTTACTATATTTGGGTTGAGATAGGCAAATTTAGGGATGTTGAATGGGAGGTCTACCCTGAACGGCGGATCCAGGAATACGATGCTAAATTTGCTTGGTGGGCCCTCTATAAAAGCACAATGGACAAGCATTGCTATTAATCCATGCTATTAATCCAAACACTTGATGCCTATATAGTATAATATTTGATTTACTTTGTGTACTAATCCTAATTTAATTCAAAAAAATATTACCATAAAGATTTTGTTTATCATAGAAGAGCAATTTACTAGATATTTCATGACAATATTTCCCCCCCCCCCAACAACCACAAAAAAGCTGGTGCATAGCTGGTCTTGTAATCTTTGCTCTGTAATATAAACTTGTCTTTTGTCTTCATCCTCTGTCAATTTGGATGCATTTCCAACATTTTCCACACAAAAAATGACATTTGAGGATTATAATATCACTGAACTAAATTGTAACATCTTCTATTCTATTGAAAACAGCACCTACAGTTTTATGAAAAATGAATAGCATTTCCAAGAAAAACTTGATCTCAGAATAAATCATCTACTGAAGGCTAGACGGGTGTTAAATTAAGTCTGTATAAGGGCGAGTAAAAGGTATGTCAAAAAATTTAACCAAGTATTATTGAAAAATATCATGGAATCGTGAACAATAATGGACAATACTTCTATGTTGAATTTGTCTCTATCAACAGGGCGATTCCCTGCATTGTGGAAGGTCGCTCTGGTGAAACCACTATTGAAAAGGCCGGGCCTCGAAACAGAACCGAGTAATTTAACGCCCATTAGTAATCTTCAGTATATTTCTTTAGTTAGTACAGGCATGGACCTATTGATGGACAGATGGACATTCGACGTGATTCTTTCTTTGATCCAATGAGAGTCGCCACCTGCTGATTATGTGCATCTTAATGAGAACATTTAGCTGTTTTAACCACAACGACTGCGTAAGCATTTTCGGTCATTGACAAAGGAGCAGTTTCCCCCTCTTGGGTTTTTTGTTTGGATGGCGTGCTCTGTAAAAGTGTGTCTTTAATAAAAACATCCCACATGGGGAGCAGCAAAATTGAAAAGCTGAGGATTTTGGTGATATGAAATGTAATATTACTGATTCGCACACTTTCGCACACACTCATGACCTTATGAAACAATTAGAAGGCCATGATCTTTATAAGCCCTGTGCGTTGTAACTTTGGAATATTATGAGGAAATTGGGGGAAAAGGGATTTTAAATCTTAACCAATCCAAATATAACCTCTATCTGGTAATATCAACATATTTTTCAAAATAAAATACAGTATACGGAACAACAATTTCCAATTATAAACCAGAACTTTACATCGATTTCCCATGATTTAAGCGATTTATTATCTTCTGCGCATGTAGATTAACATGTGTAAACTCAATATCTTGAATCTGTTCCGGCTCATTGGTGGTGACCCTCATGAGATCAAAGTGAAGAAAATTGTGCGCAATGTTATTGAGACGACATAGACGGAGACCATCACAATGAATTCGTTAACTAAACGATGAATGTCCATCCGTAATAGGTTCATGGTAGAAGGCGTTGCTACTCAACACATTAGGGACTTTTAGATTGAGTGGACGAGAACACGACGAACGCCGACTGATCATGTGTGTCAACGTACTCAACTGCCCATGTCACTTGACTACAATTAGAAATCTTTTAGATTGCACTCGACGATATACATGCATGCAGAAAGTAACACTATGAACATGACGGACAAAGAAAAAAGGCCAAAATATACAGTTCCTCATTCTACCCTCAACAATAGGCCATTTTTGTAATATAACCGAATTTAATGCATAAGTCTTTGTGAAATGCCCCAATTCAAATGATTTCATTCACCTGATAAGAATAATAGTAGGCCTATTTTAATAGTCAGAATGCAAACTGCATATATTAAATGTTGCTAGGTAGGTCAAGCCATAATGTTTGTCCTACCTGGCAACAATTAATGTATGCAGTTCGGATTCCGTCTATTGAAATACTAATATTCTTATCAGGTAAATGAAATCATTTGTATTGAGACACTTCACAAACACTTATGCATTAAATTTGATTACATTATGAAAATGGCCTATTGCTGTGGTAAACATCCCTTCACTGCTATTATTTAAACATGTGTCGAACAGGTGAATATGCATGTGACACCTGTTCTACACATTTTTACATAGTAGCAGGAAAGGGATGTTCCTTTGTCTACCTGAGGAACTGTATATTTTATGCACACGCGGCATATACTATAGTACCGTACTAGATTTAGGAAAATCAAGGTTGACGCATTCTCGATCGCCGACTGAGACGACGTGACGCTTGCGCAGTGCCTTAAAATGACGTCACATGTTGCAGTCAAAGCTGTCGACGTGCAAATTTAAAAGTCCGTATTATTGAGCACATTGAACATCAGTCACTCTTGCCGTTTAATCAATCGGGATACCGAAAATTTCAACGTACTAAAACAGCACTCCTTAGGATCAAAAGTGATCTTCTTATTTTATGTCAATGGACAACCAGAAGATAAGTCTACTGCTTCTCTTTGATATGAGCAGTGCTTTTGACACGATATTTTTCATGTTAACTGAAAACTCTAAGAAGCCATTTTAGAATTGATGGCAAGGTTATCAAATGGATTGAATCCTACTTTTCAGATAGAAAACAGAAAAATGAAATTGATAACGTTGTCTCTGATGTATTCAATGTGCCTTTTGGTGTCCCTCAAGGGTCGCGTTTAGGCCCTCTGTTGTTTGCATTATATACAAGCAGACTCCTTAAAAATATCCATACGGAGTTTCCTAGTATTAGTTGTCACTGCTACGCAGGCGACACTCAATTATACTTGTCTTTCTGTCCTAACACACCGGCTGAAGATCATTGTATTTCTGAATTAGAAAAATGAGTTGTTTATATTAGAATTTGGATGTGGCAAAACAAGTTGATGTTAAATGATAAAAAAACAGAACTTTTGGTCATTGGTACTCCAAGCCAAGGTTGCTAAATTCAGATCGCGTAGTGTATCAGTTGGTGACTCCACCATAACCCCATCTGATACAGTTAGAAACTTAGGTGTGTTCTTATTTGATACCCACCTGAATATGGATTCACATATTACTAAAATATGCAAATCAGCCTATTTAATGATTTATAATTTGAGACGCATTCTTAAATACTATCATGCACGCATGTGTCACTAGTAAACTAGATTAATGTAATAGTTTATTGTATGGATTGCCAAACTCACAAACTTCCAAGTTGCAGGGGGTTCACATACATGTGCACGACTAATTTGAAGCCTTCTAAAATTCTCTCTAATAACCCCACTTCTAAAGGAACTGCACTGGTTGCCAGTTCGCCAGAGAATCACATTAAAAATATTAATGATAGTTTACAAAGCTCTAAATGGTCAAACTCCTAGTTATGTTACTGAATTGTCTCATATCAAGTCTCAAACTCTCGGACGTAACCTTTGTAGTACACAAGACACATTTATGTTACAAATACCCCCATATAAAACCAAAGTAACCCTCGGAGACCAGTCATTTCTTTGTGCTGCCCATAAGGAAAGCCCCATCATTAGATAATTTTAAATCAAGACTGAAAATTCACTTGTTCATATAATAAATATAGCACAGCATTTACGAGCACTTGCAGCGCAGTAGAATATATCCATATAGTTATTGCGCTTTACAAATGAATATATCATGTTATACGATGTTTTGTCTGATTTAAGCTCTTGTATGGCCATCAGTTTGATACAGACATCAGATATACTGAAATCTTAGATGTGGCGGGTAATGTATGTGACAAAATAGCTCGGAATTAACATCCTTCCTGGAAGTCAGCACATGAAATGAAAGAATGATAGGAAAACGCCCTTGATTGATACTTGTTGTTGGTGTATGATTGTATATTTGTGTATTCATTTGATCGTGACGGTGAATAACCTCGAGGTGAGCTTCTTATTTCCTCGTAACGAGTTAATCATGTTTATTATTGTATTGCTTAATGTTATATACAGGAGATTGATTGCTCCCGTTTGATCCAATGATCACTGTTATTTATGTGTTGATTATTGACGCCTAAGAGAGCTATCCGCTCCCTTTGACATTTGTAAGTTGTGCGTATTTTTTGTATGCCCAAATTATTATTTGGACCTTGATTATTTGTTTTGATTATCCATATTAAATCGCCGATATTTAATTATACTAACTTATTGTGTGATAGTGTGGGTTTTCTCGGGAGATCGTAAAGTTAAAAGGTGAATCCCCTTGGAGGAGTTCAACAGTATTGTAACGAACCAGTCCGTTACAGGTAGCTATCTTGCAGAAAACGTAGAGGGCGTAGTAAGCTTTTGGGGCGTAAGCGTTCAGAGCGCGATTACGGACGCACCATGCGTTAAGCAGCTCTCGGAGACTATAAATAGCGGTGTTGTACGGTGACTTCGTTAGTTCGACGCTGGCTCTCGTAGTTAGATAGCGAACTCTCCGCTCCGCTCCAACTGAGCTAAAATAAGAAAAAGGATTGGAATCGAGATATAGAGTTCCTACAAAATCAGTTGAATCAGTTCCAGTTTCCAGAGATTAATCCAGATAATTGGTGTCGGTGTTAACTATGATAACGTGTTGGAGAAGTTGACCTATGTTTGTATTATTAAAGTATACAGTTAAACAATCCATCGTTTCATAACGTGTAATTAGTTGAGTCTCCATAGACTGACGTAATATAACCCTCTCATAGAGAATACACATCCAGCTATCCAAAAACACCTCTCATCTCCACACCCATATACTTTAGGAAAACGGAGCCACGTCCGGGCCTCTAAACTACAAGCCAAATAGAAACCTCTCGCCTTAGTCAGGATGGCAAACTCTTCGTCAGATGACGGTGATAGAGGCAAGGGACAGGCCAGCCCTCCAGCATCCAGGACCCGTTCTAAGATGAAGGGCCGTTACAGTATCACCCCACTACCACAGACAATTTCAGAGCTTAATGTAGTTACACCACCATTGTCATAAACATCATCATCATCATCATCATCATCAACGTGTCGTTGGCATCATGCTTCACCCCTATACTAACCTGGAAAATGATCCCCAGCAATGTAGACACTCCTAGTCCGTGCTTTATTGGGATCTGGCTTGAGTTGGACAGCGAGACCAGAACTCATTAGGGATGACCTTTCCATGGACATCTTTGCATGTAGCATGTACTTCCCACTGTCAGGAAACAAGATAATGGAGAAAGATGAGATGTTTGTTTCTAAAATTATCTGATATCTGTCGTACAAAGAATCTGCGTGATTGATCCATTGACTTTGTGCATCAGGTGATCATATACAATTCCCATCAGGTCTAACATTTAGTGTCTTGGTAAAGTGCATACTGTATTGTGTCGTTATAAATTTGCGTGTATCTACGATTTAAGGCACCAGCATGTGATGATGCCATCATTACGTGTTTGATATGCATGCAAATTGATCACTTCTTCATCATTGTTTGCGGTACAGTGAGATGCAGATGATCATCAGTAGATAAATAGATATCGGCTTCAGTCAAAGATGTTGGCTCAGTCAGTAGATCGTCCGACTCACAACATGGAGGTCGTGGGTTCGAACCCGACCGCGTCATACCAAAAGACGGGAGTTGCTGCTACCTTGTTTGGCGTTCACCAATAAGGGATAGAGCAACGTCGATCTGGCGCCGCTCACTGGCTGCCGGGCTCGCGCTCAATTGGGCAAAAAGAATTTCTATTTTTCGGTTTCACTTAATAAAATTTGGAATGGACTTTAAAAGATTATTATTATTATTATAAATCACATACATGTATATACTGCCTTTATTCGAAATTCTTGTTAAACTATGGTACCTTTAGTGATGTGGAGGCGATCATTTTCCTTCAGGGTTATGCCCCTCATGAAATTAGCCAAAGGTCATGTCACGTCCTCTCGTGGAAGTATATATTGTAAAATGGCTGAGCTTTGGACAAAAAAAGTAGCCCGGTGGTATAGTCACTGATGGCATAGCAGTAGATTATGAAGGGGCAAATTCCTCTTGTTTTTAAAGATTTATTTCTGACTCATTTTTCATTCACACATGGTCATGCAAACAATCTCAAACACTAGCAGTTACAGTACACACATTTGTTAAGCTTCCTTAAGAAGCAGATTTGTGTTTTGCTTTTTGAGTGGTCTGCAAACATTGTGTATAACTCTTTTTTTTTTAGCACAACTGCCATCAGGGTTAATCATCAAATAATGACACTTCACATTGCTGAAATGTACCACCCTACTTCATAGATAACATAAATCTACTCACTAGGGACCGGATATGGTAAGTTTCCCGAAAGTCACTTGACCACCTTCGAATGGCATTGCTGTCAGTGACGCGGTTGACAATACCTGCATGCAGAAAAATTTGATGACGAGACTTGTTACAATCATGAAAAGAAAAAACAAACACAAAATAATGTAACGGAGTTGAATCACCGTAGCGGGCGCATGTCAGTGAGTTAATTGGGGGTTGGGGCCGGTAATACCTAAGTCACATTTGCTCTACGGCTAAATACGGCAGCCATACGCCCCCGAAATCGAGAGATATCTGCAGCGGCCGCAGATATTCTGCAGTGGCCTCAGGGTCACCCTAGGGCGTATCCCTATCTCCACGGGCCGAACGGGTCGCCGTGGGATTATAACGCGGAGTTATAACTTTTTTTCATTTCAAGGTTCGCCGTAGCAATTAGACACGCCGTAGCCATGCCGTTAAGCGGTTCCACAGTGACCATACGTCGGGAGTACGATGGCCTTGCGTTTGCAATGCGGCTGCCTTGGTATTTGTATTTAAATTTTTACTTCCCCGTGATTGTATAAAATATTGGATTTTTATGTAATAGCTTTTTTATCCAGACCCCATGTAAGAACAGGCGTATTTTGTTAATAGGCCTGAAATGGGCTATCCGCCGTATATTTATTTTAATGTATGTAGTAGTATGGTGGGGTACTGCGTACCCCATGCGTCCCCTATATGGGACTGGGCCTTTACAGCCAACAAGATTAGGAACCACTGATTCATTGAAAATTTCACATTCTTCTTTAAAAATGTGAGAAGACATTTAATAAAATGGTGAAATACAACATTTACCTTTAATGCCTTGTCATACTGCAGTGAGATAGGTGTGGTGACATCGGAGATAGGATTGCCAGATTTATCACAAACTTGAAAGCCCAATGGATTGTTGATCATGGCGCCGTCATATGCTATCAGTGTCTTGAAAGAGAAGATGAACAAATATATATATTTGATACTTTATGGATTCTTTGTCATCATTGTTATCTTTCTCAGCATTCTCAATGACCTCAGACTACATGATCACCATGACAAACATTATTAACGTAATCATCTACTCCACCACCACCATCTAACAATCATTCGTCTCTGCATCCACTACAATCACCGCGTACAAATATCTACATCCCTTCCATTGTCCAAAACATATTTCTTAGCGCCTTCAACTCCCCGTACAAACAATTACTCATACCCAAGTTCCAAGGCAGCAGCCAAACCTTCCCCTACCAGGTGATCTGACAGACATTGTTCCAGGCTTTATTTCATCAAAGATGTATGGTAAGAGTTACAATTTGGTTTTAGGTAAGGTTTAGGTTTAGGCTTAGGTATAGTGCTTAGTCCAGGGATGACGTTAGAAATTAGGTAAGTGTAGGATATGGCCTACTGAGCAGTTGTCACCAGAGGCGTGGTGCTCCGACATATTCTCTAGTGACAATTGCTTCTGGACTTATTTCATCAAAGATTTAGGGTTAGGGTTTAGGTTGATTTTTTGTTATTGCACAACATTGACACAAAGCAATTGTGGCTGGAGCAAGTGTCGTAATACTGACTGGAGCATGTGTTATCTAACCCCTAGCCACCATACCTCCTCTGGCATCCAGCCCATCACAAGCAGCTGCGCCGGTTGGCCAGGAAGCACCTCTAAACTGATGAGATCTGTGAAGTCGTTGTATTTCACCAAGACCGGCCTGTCCCCTACTATTGAACCGTCAAACTTGATATCCCCAAGACTGAAGCCCACATTAGGTAGAAGGGTTTTCTGCAGGACTTTGGTGTCTAGATCTTCTGCCTTCACACTGAGGTTGCTCAGGGAATCATGAGGGAGCTGTAGAAGGAACATGAGATTCTTAGTGATATGATATTGCTGCATGTCGATTTAGAACTGTTGATTGTCATCGAAGGCATTATCTCAATTTTGAAAATAACTTTTGAAAGAAAAAAAAAAGCTATCCGGCAAAATAAATTATGGGGCACATAATTTTGATGAGTAAAGTGACGATGCTACAGAATTTCTTTGAAAAAAGGTACCTTTGACTTTGGAGCCGGGCATAGCATCCATGTTTCAAGTGGCTCTACAGCTTATGTATAATGCAATATGGTACAAACTTTATGAATTGAACATGTTCTTAGGACTTATTCGTCTTTATTCTCTTACCTTCTTTATAATGTTCCCATGTTCATCAATGACATGGACGACAATATCACCATCCAAGATCTCTCCAAGCTTCACCTTTACACTTTTTTTGCTTTGACACTTGATGTGCTTGGCCTCGCCAGGGATTGGCCTGAAAAAATAACAATTGTAAGGATTTCAAACATTTATGGTTGTTTGTTTTACCTGACTGCTTGGAAAGCATTTGCATGATTGTAAGGAAGCAAACAGGGGACCGACGGTCTTCTCCGATTGACTCGGTTTCGAGGATTTATGCCCTACCAAAGGGTACTAGGCACTAAGCGCAAATATAACAGTTGTTAAGATTTTAAACATTCATTTTTGGTTTGTTTGACCCGACTACTAAGAGCACGTACATGCTTGAAGGTAAGCAACCAATGGAACAACGAATTTAAGTCTTCTCAGAGGGAGTTGGTAATTGAAGACTATCTCGAGAACGGGACGTACAGATGTACGTACGGACGGACGGACAACCCCCAAAACACAATGACTCTGACTACTTCGTTGCGGAGGCATAAAAAGGGCACTAGAGAATCGACTTGGCTTCGAACCCTAGACTTCCTGGTTTCTTGGTCAATGTTCTTCCGTTGACTCATCATGCGTCCTTGCTAACCATTAAAAACCCACCAACAACAATGTTCCCGGATATTATACAAACTTGTTTTGATTGTATTGTTAATTTAGTTAGGTGGAGTTTTATTCACTTAGGATGTGTTAAAAAAAATACAGGGTAGTTATAGCAGTGGCTTTAGGTCTTTTGTTGTTGATTGCCCACATAAATATTCTATAAGCAGCTGAAATAATAGTATTTTGTTAATGTAGGTCATCACTTAAAGCTTTTGTAATACAGAGTGCAATCCTGATTGTCATATCTTCACGTCGTTGAAGTAGATGCATCTGTTTTACTCAATACTCACTTGATGTTGAAGGAAAACTCCAGGCCCGATCCATCTGTGAGTCTCAGCTGACAGAACTTGATATCTCCCACCGATTTTGGGACCTTGATAGGGGGCAAGTTCCCCTCCATGACGGTGGAGGTGTCGAAGGTGCGTAACCAGGTGAACTTGAATTTGCTTGCCTGTTCCTTCGTAATCTTCATCTGGTTTTCACCCTCGTCATACAGAGTAAAACCTAACAGACAAAGAATAAAATGTACTTTTTAATTTTATTCTTTTTAAAATTGTATAACCTTTCCAAAAGGAGTATAACAATAACAAAGAATACATACAAAAGAGGACAACTAAATATAAGATAACAAAGAAAAGAATCCATAAACTGCTGGTGGATTACCCAAACTAATCAAGTTTCTGCAGAAGGCTCTCATTAGATAACGGTATAGCCTTGAATCAACATGTGGTAAACTACCTTTTTTAAATCCACCACAGCAAGTCTCACATTTCTGATGGTGATACTTTACAAGTCTCATACACAGATACGTGAGTATGCTTTAATAGAGGCGTTAGTTACACAGATACCCTTTTTTCCACCTCCCATTTGCCACTTTTAAACACACAACGTCACATTATCTAATTAGTATACTTGATGATTATCTGTGTTAAAGTGTTCAATAGTCGAGGACGAGTTTGTAAACATATCTTTTTAATGCATCCATCAACTCGATGTACAATAGCGGATCAGTAACGTATTATCTTAATTTAGCTTTGAGAACTACAACATAGGATTGGGTAATCGGTCGAACTAGGAAAATCTGTGTTTCCCTGTCGGTATACTGTCTTCATTTGGCAATTCCTGATTTTTGAATAAATTGGGATTGAAGGGAAATCCAACCCAAATAGACTACTCTTAAAGAAAGCAGAAAATCAGAGAAGCAAACTGATGAAAGTTTCAATTTAATCCGAATAGATTAGAAAAATTATGATTTTTGAAAGTTGCAATTAGCACTTCAAATTTGCTGAAGCAGTAATGTCAATGGGATGTTATGTGCCGGACTAGTTCTTTCCCATCTGTTCCAACACACCAAATTACTAAAATTAAATTTTTTCAAAAGTGCATTGCTCAAGAGGTCTGTTCTTTTAAGAGGACCTATACTAATATGCTATATACAATATATTTTGAGTAGTGCCCCATGGGTACGAGAAAAACGGAAATTAATGATATTTGTATACACGGCAAATGGGAGAGTAAATCCACGTCCTACGTCACAATCAACTGACCGAACTACCAATTTGAGATTCGCATAGACTTATTCATAACTTCATTATTATTGGTCCAATTAATTTCAAAATGTTGTCATTCTTTTTCTGTCATTTTTCTGCGTACATACAAATCGACTTATTACAAGGGTTTAATTGCCCTTTAAAGGCATCGTTTAACAAACTTGAGTCTGCGATGCATGGCCCTATGTGTTATCAGTGTCTGTCGGATACGTTTTATATTGAAGCCCTAAACGAATTGCGCTTCAAAATGATCATAAAGTGCCTCAAAAAAGTAAAAATCTTTGAATGACCAGTTTTACCATACCCATTTCCTTAATAGGCTGTAGTGTCATAAAAACCGTTAGGAAAACGAAAAATGAAATTTCGATTTCCAATCATAAATATCTTGATGATCAGACAGGCGATCGGCTTGTAAAAGTCTTGAGGTTCCTGTCTGACCTAAAGGATTATAATTATCGTTGCAGCATGAGCTAAATCCAGGATTTTGTTTCAAAATCTGAGACAAAGTTACCCAATCCCTTTAATCAACACAAACGAAATCTTCTTTGTAAATCGTATCTTTGGGAACAATATCATTACACTTTGTGCAGATATAATGTTTAAATATTATCAGCTCTATATCAATCGTTTTAACAGCGTTTCTAATTGATAATATAATCTATATAATATATCCCTTGAAATATAACTGTTCTCTACTCACGCATGTGTGATGTATTCTGTCCGGCCGTCCACTCAATGTCTTCTTGGGGTTTTATCTCGACTGGGTCATCTTTACAGAAGAATACCTTGATCTTACAGGCGCTGGAGCTGGGTTTGACGGTAATGACTTTCTCTACAGAGCTGACTCCTTTCATGTGCTAAGGGAAGATCAAATCAGAGATGACTATTTTCACGTGTCAAGAGACTTTGTCAGAGATTGGAAGTGGTCCAGATTTGCGATAGGTTCATGCCGCAAACTAAATGAATCAAAACACCATTTGTTGTTGGTGTTGCAATATATTGACGTTCAGTCTGCCCTTATCAACAATTTGCAACAAAAAAATCGCAAGAGTTTCTGACTTTATGTTGAAATGTGCATTGTAAATGTTTCATCCATATTGAAATTGACTACGGTAGTACAGTTTGGCTCTTTTTTCAATTAAGCAAAAACTCTGTTCATATATGTTTTGATATGCATTAATAAGAGGTAAAATGGCTCAGATAACAGGGCAGGATAACTACGATTCTAACAAAATATAGGTGAACAACACTCTTCAACAAACATACATTTTAAATGACCTGCAAGTAGTCCTTCAAATGTGAGGTACAGTTATATGTCCACTGAAACTCCTTAAAAGGATAACTTGCTTTTTCATCAATCAATTATTTTAATCAATCTCAATATTTTTAATAATCACTATCTTATAACACATGTTAGGAGGAATGAATCCATTCATGGACAGGAATTCTTAACTGTAATGCATTGGAGAATAATGAGGTTGAAATCATTTTGAAAAAAAGTTGTTGCATTCAAAGTATCGGTTATGAAGTTTCCAACTTACCGGTAGTTCAATTTTGGCAGTGATCTCGTGAGATTTCTTGGAGATGTTCTTGATGAAGATAGGGTTTCCAGTAAGAGTAACCTTTCCTGAGTTACTGCAGTCTGCTCTGTATGAAGGCAACCCATCCGCACCATGAAACTAATGAAATAAGAAATAAGGGTTGGACGATTATGGATTTGTACAGGTTTTATAATTGCCACTTAACCCTATCTAGCCTTGGCTATTTTGAAACTGCATTGCTTGGGGGGGGGGGGCTTCTAAAGCCCCTGCACCTATGATCTCGGCCGTGAAAAGGCCGATCGCCGCGAAAATTCGCATGCATGTCAAGTGAAGTTTTTTTTTTTTTTAATCCACTCATTTGCATATTTATAGTAATTTATGCAAATAAGAAAATCAAATTGAGATTTTTACCCATAAATCATATATTCTTCATATTAAAACATTAGTTTTCACTACATATATTCTTTAGACCATTTGGGATAATCATACAACATCAACAATTGAAAGAGCCAGGTTAGTCCTTATGTTATCTTATGTTTTGAACTTTTGATAATTTTTTTTTCTTTGTTTTTTAACTTATGTATTGTATCATTTGGGGGGCGCCTCTGGGGTACTGACGCCACATGAAAACCCTCGATGGCTCAGGTAAAGACCCGGTGGCTATTCTTGAAGAAGGGTCCCGGATTCTGGTATGTCATTCCTAGTACCTCAGGTAACACTTGATTGTCACAATCAGTCAATACAAGACTAGTACAGTAGTTGGGATGGGCCGACAGGCGACAGCAATCACTGGCGTCGGGCTTCAGTTTAAATCAACAGCTTTAAACACTGTATATTGTGCAACGGCCAGCATGATGATTTAACAGATGGACCTGAAGCTGTGTTCTGGCGTACTTTTGAACGTTGCAACTTGTATATCCTAGTGTAAAGCGATCATCGGCCTTTTGTTTAAATCAAAACGAATTAGGGCTAATTCTGACCTGAAAACAAACCAAATCTCGGAGCATGGCCTGGACCGGATATACGGATAAGCGAATGCCCTGGGTCCACTTCTAACTTCTGTTTTTAGCCCTTCTTTCTACTCATTTTACTTTCCTTTCCTTGCTTAGCTGTTTTAAGAGGGGAGTGTCACCCCTCCCTGTGCAACCGCACCTGCTATTGTGATGGAAATAAATAATATCTCATACCTCGCACTGGACTTCAATATTTTGGTGCACAGAGAAGTTCCCTGCTCTGTCTCTGATCTCCACAGATATAGGAAACTCTTTGCCATTCTCTATGCAGAGGTCACCAGTTCCTTCAAACGTTGGCACAATGATCTTGTGTGGCTCACCTGTAGACAAAAAATGTATTGCTCTAAAATGTAAATAATAATAACATTGCCAACAAAAGCAGCAACAGCATCATTATCGACCACTCCCAACAACATCAACAACAGCACAGACATAAGAGAGCTCTAGCTTAATAAAGTGCACATATCATGCTAAAGGCGCCTCCAAAGAGTAAAGTACTACTCGGAACATGTACACTATCAGGTGCAGATTAGCAATTGAATACGGGTATTAATAATTATAATGTAGATTTCTTAGAAAACTAGTATTGAAGTAGCTGTGCGAAGGATTTAAACTCTTTCCAAACTCAAACATTCTTGTAACAATGCAAAGGGGAGACCAAACCAGGGAGGTGTAAGAAAGGAGTGGAAACTCTTGTAATTTATTCAAATACATTCGTGAGTGCTAAAGCGTAACGATGGGATTTGTAACATTCCACTTGGCTTTGAAGTTCCATGCTCCGAGCCGCCCTTCTACTGCGGGGAATTTCGGAGGCCAGGCACCAGTTTCACATTTATTAAAAAAATATTAAATTTCCGGCAAAATGTCAGTGTAAATTATAAACTTAATATGGGGATTGTATTCGGAATAGTGCATCAAACAATTTTTCAAATCTGGTACTCCGCCCTCACTATAATTTGTGTGCCAGAGTTGGTAAAAGAACAATTAGATCCTGACGATACTCGGCCCCCTTCTGTTCTTAATCTATATTAATGATATAATAAAATGTACACCTTTCTTACATTATGTATTATTTGCAGACGATACTACTCTTGTAGCTTCACACTCAGACTTTTCTTTCTTGATTAATGCAATTAATATTCATTTAAAATGTGTGCATTCTTGGCTTTTATGTAATAAATTATCATTGAATGTTCTGAAAACTAAATATGTTATGTTCCGTAATCCCCAAAATAAGTCAGACGTTTATAATGATATATCCATTTTTATTAATACTACTAAAATAGAGAATTGTTCAACAATTACATATTTAGGAATTGTGTTAGACGAACATTTATCATGGGATCCTCACATTAATTATACTTGTTCGAAAATTTCTCGCAATATTGGTTTACTTTGTCCCATGAGACACTTTATTCCTTTACGAATTTTATTTTTGATGTATAATGCCTTTATTTTACCCCATGTTATGTATTGTATTATTGTCTGGGCTAATCCTTATCCTTCAAAATTAATTAAATTACACCGTCTTAAAAAAAAAAGGCAATACGCATTTGCTCAAATGCAGATGATCTGGCCCCATCACAACCATATTTTTACAAATTTAAAACGTTGAACGTTTTTGATATTAATAGATTAAAAATGGGTATACTTATGCATCGTTACTTTTTAGATACATTACCGGAATACTTGATGAATATGTTTTCTTTAAATGTCCATGTCCACAATTATAATACTAGACACAACCAGTTATTCCATCAATCAAAGGTCACATCTCACTCTCTTTTTAAGTCTACTCGGTTCGTTGTTCCAATTATATGGAATACATTATCCCCCTTAATACGTAATACTCAATTTGGAAATTCTTTTAAAAATAAGTACCAGCGCTATTTACTGTCTCAGTATGTTTAAGTTAAATGTAATTTAGTATGTAACCGTCAGCTACCTGAAATATATATAAATGTTTTTCATTCTTTGTAATGGATGTATCAACTTGTCAAGCCACATAGGCTTTTACTGATATACCCTATTTCATTTTCCAACTATTTGTATTTAAATGTTATTACTCTATTTCACATATTTAAGTTAATTTTATATGTACATTGTAAATGTTTATACCCTGTTTTTTAGTGTTTTTTTTTACTGAATTTGAAATAAAATGTATCAATCAATCAATCAATAATAATTTTCAGTCTCAGGATTGATAGCAGAGATTGAACTGCATAGAATATCATCTTCATAATCATCCGCATTTTACGATGACGTCTCAACAAATAACATAAAAATAAAAAGATATTTCGAAAAATCGGAATGCATTACTCATTCTTACATTATACGTATGGCATATTAAATAGGCAATTTTTAAGTTTAATTACTTGAATTTGAAAGACTGTTAGTCCAGTTTCACTATGCAACCTTGCACGTGTAAAATCTATGTATGTGTACTTGATAGCGCCGGCTCCGGCTCCCTGACCCAATTGTGAAGTCATGATTCAGTAACCGTATATTTCAATTTCAGGCCATGATTTGAAGTTGTGAGAAGGGTCTTGGAAAAAGCAACTGAAGTGTTTAATTGAACTTTACACAACTTTGAAGCAAATGGTTCGTGTTCTCAATGATATAAGCTTTCCTTGCCTGTGTAATTTGCCCATGTTGTGATATATCTTCGTACAGCTACTTTAAGCACTATACAAATGTGACTATTATTTTCATTATCATCTCATTTATTATATATTTAGCAAATTAAGTTCAATATCTTGCCAAAGAACATCGGATTCAGTACCATCATAATTCTCATCTGTATCATCCTCATCATGAACAACATAATTGGCGTCACCGTCATCATCATCATCACCAGCATCATCATCATCATCATCACCATCCTCAACATCATCATCATCTTCACCATCCTCAACATCATCATCATTATCATTCTAATTGCGTCATCACCCGAATCAAACATCACCAGCAGTCTATCGTCTACCAGCTAAACTCTCTCTCCTAACAACTTCACACCTGAACAAGTGACCTGCCATTGCTTACCGGGCAAGATTCTGATCTTTAGTTGTTGAGTGGGGATCTCCAGTCCAGGTATCGTCACGGTCATGTTGAACTTCTTTCCTTGAGCCGATCCAACGACCCCGGATGCCTTCACTTCTTTCACTATAAGAGAGTTGCCCTCGATTTCCACCTTCTCATAGCTCATGACAAGGCCACTACAGAAAGAAAAGAGAAATCTTTTAGCTTCCCTCCGTATTTCTTCATAATCTGATACTACACTTCCTTTTAAAACTTCTACAAATAGGTCTTCTTACGATTCTTAAATAGCCTCCATTTCTTCTCTGTTTGCCTACTACATAATAATGTCCGAATCTATTAGCATTTCATTACTCTTTCAATTTTTATGCTGCCCTTCCTTCTTTTCCTCCCCTTATTATCTTCCCAATTTCCTCTTTATTCTATATTCCACCATTTTCATATGGCATATTCTTAACCCCTGTATCTTAATCTTGTTTCTCTAAATTATGAACTGTTGATTATTAAGTACTAGAGTTAATTAAACAATGGCAATTCCCCCAAAATAGATTTCACTCATAAGGCTAGCGCATGTACTTAAATTTTGTTTGAGAATCTGACAGCGTATTTGATTGCATAATGACAATTCAGATTTTTAAAATTTTGGTAGACAAACCTGATCAGTTTACATTGCTTTGAGATCGGGTGATGACATTGTGAATAATAATTAGATTAGATAATTACAATACTAAATCCTAAATGCTGACGAAGAAATCTATCTAAAATTGTATACCTCGCTTCGAGTACTGGTTTGAGGTTAGGCGTTGGCTTGGTGGGATTATTGAACTCGTCTTGTAGCAGAAGAGGGATGTTGAATGGGACGTCTACCCTGAACGGCGGATCCAGGATATCAATGCTAAACTTGCTTGATGGGCCCTCTATAAAAAAAAAAGCACAATGAACAAGCATTGATATCAATCCAAATACTTGATGCCTAACCTATTGCAAATACAGTATACTATAATTTGATTTGTTTTGTGTACCAATACTGATTTAATTCAAAAAATGATTACCATCAAGATTCTTGATATCATAGAATAGCAAGTTCCAGATATTTCAGGCCAATATTTACTCCCCCCCCCCCCCCCCCACAGACTTGTCCTTTGTTTCCATCCTCTGTCACTTTGGATGCATTTCCGACATTTTCCTCACAAAATATGACATTTGAGGTCCGGATTAGAATATTACTGAACAAAATTGAAGCACCTTCTATTGTTTACAGCATCTTCAGTTTCATGAAAAATGGATAGTATTTTCAAGAATTAAGGGTGCTTCAAATTTTGATCTAAGAAAAAAAATCACCTACTGAAAGTGAAAAGGGTGTTATGCTAGGTCTGTATAAGGGCAAGTGAAAGGTTTGTCCGAAAACATAACCAAGTATTATTGAAATATATTATGGAATCGTGAACACTAATTGACACAAAAATAAGCATCTTTATTTGATGTGTTGTCTGATTCAAGCTCTCGTAAAGCTATCGGCTTGATACAGACATAGGTTATACCAAAATCTTAGATGTGGAAGGTAACGTATGTGACAGAATAGCTTGGACTTAACACCCTTCCTGGAAGTCAGCACATGAAATGAAAGTATAATAGGACAAAAAAACAACTTCAGACTCACCTGTACTTGTGAACTTGATCTTGTGACATGGCAGAGGGCGTCCTCCGAGGTCAGTAGCTCCTTCATCCCTGAGTACTGCCTGCAGGATCAGGGTATGGGGACCTATGTTCCCGACAATGTCTAAACCAATTAAAACAGAGGTGCAGTTTAATCTTTGAAACTTCACTCATTTGCTTCAATGTAAAGAAGGGTATATGTGTTCAAGGTTAAAAAATGTAAGGTCCCTGTGTATATGAGCCCCACAATTTTAAGTCAAGACCCCCCAAAAACCCATTTGCCTATAGACTCTTAACATTTTCAACCTGGGTCCTGTTTCATAAAACTTAATGTTATCAATAAGAAATGCTAAAATACTCTGACACATTAACTCTCAGCCAACGAGATGCCACAGTTTCAGTAGCTAATAACAGTTATTCTAATTTGCTATTAATAACAAGTTTTATGAAACGGGCCCGTGACCCTCTTTGTAATATCCCAGTCAAATCAATGAGACCGATAAAAGACTGACACCTGCCAAACAGAAATGATGTCACCCTGAAAGGCCCAAAATCGGTGGGTCGGTGTGGAGTCAGTTTGGTGGTGGAACTGAGGTATGAAATTTATTGTATAATATAAACTTTGTAATATCGCAGTCAAATCAATGAGACCGATTAAAGACTGACACCTGCCAAACAGAAATTATGTCACCCTGAAAGGCCAAAGATCGGTGGGTCGGTGTGGAGTCAGTTTGGTGGTGGAACTGAGGTATGAAAGTTATTGTATAATTATAAACTTGGACTGTGAAACCAGTCATCTCATTGGAGGATGAGAATTATGTTTGTTATCTAACATTATGTTTGTTATCTGTTATCACTGTTCCTCTGCAGGTATGTATCTATATGACTTTCTTACCCATCTGTTTGAAGGAGTATGCCCATGTCTTGTGATGTTGACCCATGTGGGTTACTATCACCTTGTCACCGCAATCGGCTGCAAGGATGAAAACAATGATAAAGAATTTCTTAATAAATTAGTATAATTTTGCTATTAAACTTTAATTTTTCAGTTTTTATTATATGAGAAATAAATCTGCCATAAAGTGTAATATATATGCACACTGTCACTCAAAATGAATAACCAAAACCTTACTGATCCCTTTCAGAGAATTGATAAAACAAAATATGATATTAATGATAATAATAATAAGTCTTGTTTACGTAGGGGAGCCTCAAAAGATTTATTCTATACTTTGATTTGATTTGATTTGATTTATTTGTGTCTACATCATTTTTCTTTTTTTTCATCATACATTTTCATAAACATAATATTGGTTGATTCAATATTTTAAGTGTATATAATTTTATACAGATACTAAAAGAAATTAAACAAATGTATTGAATACATAATTAACATACATTTGATGCAGGAGGGCTACAGAAATAAGCAAAGTAGCTTGACGTGCCCGCTGCCCTCAACTTAGATACAACAATAACAATTTTTAAAAAATGACTTGCAGAGAAGAAAAGGAAAGGGGAGAGAAGGAGCGTTGGTAATAATACAATAAATCTAATTCATCTGCTGATTCAATGCAGGTTCATTCATGGATGGATAAACGATGCTAGGTCATGGACGATTACACATCATTGTTGAATGTACAGTCACTGTACACACGAACATTAAAGATAAACTTTAGTACTGGTAATGCGATTGCATTGTAAAAGAAAAGGTGTGGAAAGGATCAGAAACAGTTGATCATGTAGCATGTAAGTATTGGTGTGCGCTGCAAGGTTCTGGAGTCATCAAAATCATAATAAATTTGACCGAGTCTTGGTAAAGTAACAAGCACTGTACACAAAGAGCTTTATATGGGACAACACACATGGTGTCGGGGCTAGTACTACCTTCATTTCCTTGTCTTTCTATGCTCATTACTCAGCCAGTATACATTTTCTTCCAAAATTATGTAACACATGTCATTTATTTGTAATCTTGAACATTCAGTGTAAGTTTCGTTTGATTCTGTGAGAATTATTATTATTTATTTTTTTTACCAGAACTGGAGTTTATCTTTAATACAGTAGAATTACACACGACAGGATCAATACTTAGACAATAACATAGTTTTAACCGCCTCCTTAAATGAATACAATGTCCTAAGGTTTCTTATTTCAATGGGCAAAGAGTTCCAGATGTCTCGGCCGGCGTGTCTAATAACACTTAGTGGAGAAGAACAAGGGGGTTATGTACATTTCTGACGGTATTTGGAGACAAGGCAGGAAAGCCATGCTTTGTATCAAAATAACTATGTACATTATTTAAATAATTATTTCTTTAATAGAAAGGGAAAAAGGGACATTATGTCCACACATGCACTCTTTCCCATACACACAAACACGCACTTATTGATCTTTCTGATGAAAAATTAAAGTTATAGGTTAATGCAATTTTGAGTTTTGTTGTTATAAATATAATTTACATAATCTGTTAAAACTATTCAGCGATGGGCTCAGTCTAATTTCTACAGGTATATCATTCCAAATGTTTGGGCCCCTTAAGAAAATTGTATTTTGGGAAACTAATGTCCTTACCCCTGGAATATGACAATTATTTAAATACCTGGTCTGGCAGCCATGAATATTTGTATTGAGTTCAAAATAGTTTAAAAGTAGTATGTGGTAAAACAAATTTAAAGCACAAATACATACAAATTGCACATAGATATATATAGATATCGCATACTCTTAAAAGTTTAAGGTTGTAAAAAAAGAGGGACAAGGTATTGGCTGTGCGATGTAATTATTATAATTGTCCATACAAGTGGTGCGATATCAATATGTTATATAAAATCATCAATATTTCTTTAGGGAAAAAAATCAATTTATAAAATACACCAACATGTTCAGCTCATATATTGCAGATTACTACAGTGTGTTCTTTCCAATCTAATTATCACCAATTGTGACTCCTAAAAATATTAAATGTTTGACTTGTACAATAAAAGATTCCTTAAAGATAAACTTAAGTTCTGGTAAAAAAAATGAAAATAAATTGTCATAGAATCAACGAAACTTACACTGAATTTTCAAGATTACAAATAAATGTCATGTGCCAAACAATTTTGGAAGAAAATGTATAATGGCTGAGTAATGAGCATAGAAAGATAAGGAAATCAAGGTAGGTAGCCCCGACACCATTTGTGTAGTCCCATATACATGTGCTTGTTACTTTACCAAGACTGGGCCAAATTTATTATGATTTTGATAACTCCAGAAGCTTGCAGTGCACACCAATACTTACATGCTACATGATCAACATTTTTTTTATCCATTTCATACCTTTTCTTTCACAATGCAATCGCATTACCAGAACTCACCTTTAACTTTTATTTGAGTAACAATTGATTTTGGGGGTGCATTTTTTAAAAAGAAATATTGATTGCAAATTTAAATATATATATAACCACTCAACCAGTTTATCAAATTCTGCATTTACCATATCTTGAAGGAATACAATATCTTGATGAGACAAAACCACATCTGCAATTAATATCAGTTCTAGCACTTTTGAAACATTGCAAATATCATTTACATATAAAAGAAATCATAATGGTCCTATAATTGAGCCTTGGGGCACTCCACTTCTTACTTCCATTGTCTGTGACTCATATTTTTCGAGTACAACAATTGTTTTAATAAATGTAATGCTTCCTGGGAGAAATTTTAATTATTTAAACATATTTGTGGCTTACACCCAGTAAATATATTTTCCGATTACTAACAAAGTTTTTAGACCTTCAATGTAATTTCTCTATAACCATAAGATTCCAATTTGTTTAATAACACTGTGTGATCAAGATAATCAATTGCTTTGCTAAGATCTGAAGACAGGCTAATAATTGTTTCTTTATTATCACAGGCATTTGTAACCTTAGGTATAAACTCGGTGATGGCAGGAGATGTAGAGTGTATTGATATTGTTCTCACTAAGGGCCCTGCAATCATATGTAGAATAAAGGTAATTTATTGGATGTCGATTGCATTTTTGATTGTGTTTACTCACAATGCCAAATGATCTTCAACTCCACCATGAGTTTCTTAGAGTTATGCTGAACTCCAGGAAGCCTTGACATGGACTGACCTTTCCTGTTGTGGATCTCAGCTTTGATTTCACCTGTACACAAACAAACAAAATGGGCAATATGGTATGAAAGGTACAAACGAACCAGGGGCCAGTTTCCAGGAGTCTTATATCCCAGTCTCACGGCCAAACCAAGTAACAACTCCAAACTGACCAAAGACTGATAAAGCCATGGCTGATTTTTATTGTTGAGCCTCTTATGAACCTCGTTCCTGTAACTGGGTATGGTTCTGAAAACATCCCCGTAAAACATATGTGTTAATTCCATGATTTCAAGGCCATCCCCTGAAGAATGTATTAATTCTATAAAAGCACATTTTAAAGAAAATTTAGAAAAACTGTTCTAAATGTCTCTAAATCTTCGTATCCTGCTTTAAATGTTTAAGTCCTGAGAAATTTGATTATTTCCTCTCTATATAACTTGTCATGCATCATTGAAAGAAAAAACGTGCATGTCAGCACCAATTAAGAATGGAATACTGTTATCATCATTTTTGTCCACCATTAAGTGATTTTGCACAAAATACATCTTGCAATTCTTGGCAGTCTCTGGCAATGCCATGACATTATGCACTGACCTATGAGTTTCCCAGCTGGTCGTTTCTCTCCTGCATGGACCTCATTTGCCTTAGGCCAAGATATGACAAGAACCTCTGGAAGTCTGGTAAGGAGAAGAGCACACAAAATGTTTTTCTCAATTCCTATGACAGACTCGCTTAAGAATACGCTTTCATAATCTCTACTTTTCTGTCTATGTTAGTGCCCACAGTTTACTGTAACATTTGTTTACTGTATTGCTGCTTTGAAGTGCTGTACAAAATCTTGCTGAAAGAAAATAAAATCAGGTTAACAGAAACTAAGGTTTTTCAATGGTTTCCGGTAGTATGTGATATCAGAAACAACATACTGAAAATGTAAGAAAACCGGCCCCCGAAAAGTGGTGATTTTCCAAATGGCGTCCAAGATGGCCGCCAATACCTTAAATTGGGCATACATCATGATATATCCATCTTAGGGATATAATGTTGGTGTCTTAATCTAGGTTTAGAGGGTTGTAGACTCCATTCGTACTACTTTTAATGGGTTATGGCCACCAGGAAACCGAGAAATCCAAGATGTCGTCCACTATATGGCCTCAAGCTATGATTAGCAAGATTAAAATGGGTTGTAGAGGTCAGGATGTTCATTAAAGTTTAGAGTAGCCTTATGAGGGCCACCATTATGTAATCCAAAAATCGAAACTAAAAGTAGCCATAAATCGATTATTGTGATAAATCTATCTAAGAAGTGTAATTTCGGCCTCGATACCAGTTTTTGGGGTGATGAAAATTCCATGAAGGTGTCCAAAATAACCGGTACATACAGGTATGGATTTTCATTGACAGACCTATACAAAAAAATCTTGTAGCTTTATGCAGAAAAGTTTTGTGATATCGTTGCTACTGTGCTCACTAATTTGGTTGCTGGCACTGTATGAATACAAAACATAGGACATGGTAACTTAGATGAAAAGTGATTTACATTTTCCACCACTTTGCCGTCCAAGATGGCCTGCGGCATTTGAAAACAGTATCGAATCATTATATCAGCCGCAGTATATGTCATTGGTGTATATCCCCCCTTTGGGGGCAGATACAAGTTTCGTTGTCTCGCAGCAGACAAGAATCATTCAAATCCAAGATGGCGTCAAAAATAAAAGTATAATCCCTAAAATCTCCAAAAAAAGTTTCCGTATAATCACATAACAAATGTCTTACGTTATTTCTTGAAAATGTGAGTTTAGTATATATATATATATATATATATATAAATGCAATTTATAACTTTGGTAAATTATGTTAGCATTCAAGATGGCTTTCGTTTTCCTAAATAGGTGACTAGAAGAAGAAGTTTTGGGTCCTAGTAGATCTTCTGTTTGGGTCACTGGTCAATTTACCATCATGGATCCCATTCTGTTAAAAACAAACTCGTGTAGTACATTTACATTTTCATCATCATAAACATCTCCATAACCAGACTTTTTTTCTTTCAAACGAGATGGAGATAACCATATTAAGTATACCCTCGATTTTGAGAACAATGAAAGAACATAGCATTATACTGATCCTTAAATAGAATAGCAAAGAAAGGGATAAATATTTAGCATCTGGTCATATTTAACACCTGTTAAACACCTATATTCCATTTTTTGGATGAGAATTGAGAATTACATTTAAAATATTAATGATAGTCTACAAAGCTCTAAATGGTCAAACTCCTAGTTTCGTTACTAAATTCTTGCATATCAAGTCTCAAACTCATGGTCGTAACCTTCGTAGTACACAAGACACATTATGTTGCAAATACCCCCATGTAAAACCAAAGTAACCCTCGGGGACCGGACATTTCTTTGTGCTGCCCCTAGATTATGGAATAAATTATCACTAGAAATAAGGAAAGCCCCATCACTAGATAATTTTAAATCAAAACTGAAAACTCACTTGTTCATAAAGTATGTATAGCACAGCATTAACGAGCTATTGCAGCGCAGTAGAATATCAGTTCAGTTCAGTTCAGTTTATTTTATTTTTGCACGGCACCAACTTCAGCCAAAGGCTGTTCTTCTGTTGGTCCGTGCGCAATATAAAAATTACATGTACAATTATAAGATAACACATATTATCATAACATATGAAATATTAAAAAAACAAAAAATCAAAAACAAGAACATAAATATACAAAGAAAAATGAAATTATACAAACCAAGATACTACTACCCAGCCCCCCCCCCCCCCCCCCCCCGTCGGCAAAATGCTTGCCTCTACTAAATGGAAAAATTACGGTGGGGGTTGGATGAAATGGACACAATGAACAAATCAGAACTGATCTATGATAATTCATGCATCTTATCCTTCGTGTGTTTGACTTATAACCTTACAATCGCGTGGTTAATTGAGTCCAAAGTTCGACCTGTTGTACATGTGTTATTTAGGCAATGGCGAGCTTGCGACCTATTTTGATGAAATTACGGTGGGTGAACTTTCAAAAGTCAATGAGACATGAGGGTTCCAATGAAAGAGCTAGTAATAACGTACGTCGAGGTGGATGTGCTTTTCGTTTAAACAAAAAAAAAAGAATTTTTAACGATTTTGGGGTAAAAGTCCATAGGCTAACATGTTAGGCTGCTGACATAGGGGGCGTTGTCAAATGAGACTAAAAAACTGAGCTATATGGGCTAAATTTCACACATTTTGGGGTCTAAAATTACCTTCATAGCAATTGTAGGTCCTCAAAGGGCACTAGAAATGTCATAGATAAGAATAAGAGCAATAACTATGCACTTTGAAGGTCTGAAAACAGAAGTTAAGTATCCCTTTAAGGTATTGGTGGTCATCTTGGACGTCATTTTGAGAATCACCTCTTTCCGGGTGTCCGATTTTCTTAGAATTGTATTATGTTGTTTCTGATGTCAAACACTATCTTACGTAGACCGTTGAAAAACCTTTTGTTGCAATGTTTTTGGGGTTAGGTTATTTGTTTTTGTATTTAAATCCGACTAAGAAGTTAAATGAAAGACTTAAATTATTTGTGCAAGAGAAGAGAAATATTTTATCTCCATTATAACTGAATAAACATAGAGAATACCTTGAAATACATTAAGCAAATAGAAAGATGGAAACGTGAATGGTCCTCATCAAGTCATTAGTACTTACTTTCCTTCTTCATCATCGATGGCCTTCTTTATCTGGCCCTCATCAGCTAACCTGTCCAGCCTCCTGAGATGGTAGCTCTTTGTCTCGTTGTACAACAATCTAGGCTCCTACCAAGTAGAGAGGAGAAATGAAAATAAGTTCAAAGAAGCAAAGGTCCTTATCCTCAATTGTTTAGTGCTTGAGAGTTAGTTTGCTGATTATAGAGTGCAAAACAGCAACTTCTCCGTCCTGTACAATTCACCATCATGCTGTAACTAAAATAAAGTATAACAAAAACTTTTCTTTATGAAATTGATTTCTCTCTATCATTTCCTGAAGAAAGAAATGATCCTGTATTTTGTTAAATAGTTATAGTAATTTATAAAAAAATTGAGAGGTTGACACTTGACTTTCCATCAATCAGCAAAATAGTACCAGGCTTAGCTTTGAATGCTTTCGAAAATAAGGGCAAAGTTGTATCTGATCATTTTGGCACTGTTTAACATTTGGATCTAGATAGATTTACGCAGCAGATAACATCAACTGGTCCAATGTCACCAATGGTTTTGAATAGTTACACGGTTTGCTGACCTGTCTACATTTAATGCCAATGTACTAACTGCAGAAGTAACCCGTTAGGGCAGATTTAGATCACTATGCGCATTTAGTGCTGCTTAAATGCATCTCACAGATATTGAGGTATTGGTTATCTAATGACTGACTACAAATAATCTTAAATTGACCCACCAAATACTAAGCCTCACATGAGTCAAGTTGAGGTCTATGGAAAATTGAAGGTTAGATCAAAATCATATCGTACCGAACATTCCTGCAGCACAGATGCCAATCTTTAGTAGACCAATTATTTTGTTCCCTAATGCTATGGTCACATTACCCAAAAGTAGCCTGCTCGGCGGCCGAGCGGCGAGTTTTTAACCAATTCTGCCCGGCAGCTGTCCGACCACCGAGCGGCGGCCGCCAAGGCACCGCTCGTTTTTAGGGCATCGCTCGGTCGCCGCTGAAGTTTTAGCGCGGAGTTAAAATTTGGGCGGCGCCTGCTCACTTTTCACTCGCCGCCCAAAATACGCTCGGTGCCTGGGCAGTCGCCGCCCGGGCACCGACCTAATCGCTAGGCGATGCCTAAATTCCAGCAGCGACCGAGCATGCTACTGATCGGTCGGTCGCTGCTCTGATTTATGACCATAGCTTTAGTTATGGCACGATGAATGCAGAGAAAATGTATAAATGATGTAACTGAGTTTGTCATACCTGCTCAATTTCGAACTCTCCTCCCGTTGCAAACAGCGACCTATTCGGAATCTCATTCCCAAAGTCTCCGAACAACAAGAACCGTTTTACTGACCCATAAACAACTGGATTTGTCCGCAAGATTCGAACCTAACAAGGAATAAGATAAGAATATATCGAGTAAGGTATTGTCTGGCACCAAATTATTACTTTGTTATACATATTATTGGTATATAACCTACTATGTACATTCATGTTCAATGAAAATTATAAAGTAAATGAATGAATAACACATATTACTCATGAACTCACTTTTATCCCATATGACATCTTACATCGTAAACGGAATATTTCTGACATGAACAAATCTCTTTCTCTTGATTTTCTTCTCTTTCTATATATATATATATATATGTTTATCTTTACATGTTACGTTACTCCTCATAAGAAACTGTGATTATGTAAAATTCTTGTAGTGACTTCCATCCACCCCCTTCCCACTGGCTTTTCTCTAACTTCTTATCTCACTCCTTTTTTGAGAAAACAATTAAATTTGTATGACTATGTTTTTTTTTGTTTTTTTTTTACTTCTCATCTCATTTATACAGTGCAAAATCAGCCATACATGGAGTCTTTCGGCTATGGCTGATCGTTAACGAAACGGAATTAAGTCTATTGTCAACTCTATTTGTTGCTACGGCAGGAAAACGTATCCATTCATTAAAATTATGGAAATGCAAGCATTCCTTTTTTTTATTTATTTTTTTTATTTCTAATCATTTGACAGGGTAGCCCATTCACCAACAAGTAGTGGTCTTCCATGGGGCCCTGAATGAACATATTTACATCGTTCATAACATTTATACAGAACAGTTACAAAAGAAATACTCGTTTGCAAAATAAACATATATCATTAACCTAGTAAACAGTAATGTCAATAGGAAAATATTAATTAAGTCGCAGTTATGCGAATAAGTCATGTTAATATTACAGAACATGCACGTAGTGTATGTTCGGCTGAGCCATTCACAAATTACAACTTTGTTTAAACAATCTCTTAAATGAATTGACAGAGGAAGCCGTTCTCAACGAATTATCTAGCTTATTCCATTCAAATATGGAAGAAACAATTGGGCTACACTTATAACAATCAGTGTGAAGTCTAGGCACACGTAAACATCCACTGTCTATTTGCCTTGTATGATGCTCATGCACATCATTAGGATTGATTAAGCCTACCTGAAGGTAAGAAGGTGCTAAGTTATGAACGCATTTATATATCATCATAACGCGACTTAACTCAAACCGCTTGTCTAGTGTCATCCATTTCAGACTTGTGAACAAATCAGCGGACGGTGTGTCATATGTCTTGTTCAATATTATTCTTGCGGCCCTCTTTTGAATTTTTTGCAGCTTAGTTGTATGAGATTGAAATCTGTTCGACCATACAACAGAGCAGTAATATAATCGTGGCAACACTAGACTGTTATAAAGTAACTTTAAGGATTTTTGAGGCAAAAAACTCTTTGCTCTCTTTATCATGCTAATGTTTTTCTGGGCAAGTTTACTTACGTTTTCGATTTGTTTAGACCATTTCAATTCTTCATCTATCAAAAGTCCTAAGCATTTGGTGAATTGAACTCTTTTGATCAAATTGCCGTTTAATGAAATGGTGAAAGATTCAATTTTCTTGAGATTAGCAGGAGAGCCTATTAACATGACACAAGTTTTTTCAGTGTTAAGAACAAGACGATTTTCCTTAATCCATGCCATGACTTTGTTTAATGCAACAGTTAATTTTTCTTCCACAACAGTTGCATCATTTTCACTGACGGTAACAACCTTTTTTTCCTGATTGAGGTGTCATATCAAGAGGCAGAAAATGAACTTTCTAGAAATGTGATTTTCTCTTTGAATTTCAGATACCGTCCGCCAAATGATTTTTGGTACCCTTTCTTCAAATTGTTTTGAATCACTCATGTGTGAAATATGCACCATATTAGTTGCATTAAATTAAATAGGAGGATTTAAGCTTTACAAATATGTGACATTTATTGATTATAATTGTGATTAAGTAATGATAAAACATCGATAATTCTCGGTTTCGTTTTCCTAGGACGCAATGTATAGAAAATAATCATTATCCATCAGTTCAAAAGATGGATAGTGTCCACTTTTTCATTCATAGTGTTCTCTTCATCACGAAATCACTTGTGATATCATACCTGTTGACCTGTGGTATACACCTTCCCATCCCATACCACAGTCTTAAACACAGCCCAGGGTCCTTGTTTTGTCTTGGGTAGACCTTGCCTCGTGATGTTACCCACGTAGTCTCGGAACCAGACCTGTTTGTCATGGGTCTCGTGACAGTGGTCCAGCCAACCGTAGAACGCTTCGTCAATATTCACTCTGAGAGACTGAAAACGAGACAAAATGTTACCACTATTATTCATACATTATTATAATATCATTTTGACCTTGATTTATCTTCTCCATGTTACAATGGGTCCCACGCCAGGACTCAAACCACGGATCCTCATGTAAGGCATAACTCAATGCTGAGCTTTCAATGTCCCTTGTCTATCATCATTTCTCATGTATTGAGTGACGTCATAGGTTATCTGAGAAAGTGTTTTTCTTGGTTTCATTATACAATTATAAAGGCCAAAAATTATACCAATTTTCTTTTAAAACATGTAAAAGATACTGTTGGATTCTGGAGTAAGTTCCTCAAATTTAGGCCTGTAATACGATTGAATAAATTTTGGAATGATATGACCCTAAACATAGAAACATTCTCCTCAATAATCACTTTAAAAAAATATGACTAGGAAACAAAACATTAATTTTCCAATCTGAATAATTGAAACAGCTGAAATCCTCTTTGTTTTCTACCCCATGGATACTGAACATTCCTTGGAAGCACAATGTATTGAAATTACGACTTTTTACATTTTGAACGTAGGCAGTACAACCAATTAGGTTCATATATTTGAGCATGCAGTCTCTAGATAAGAAACATATTTTTTTTTTTTTAATTGTTTCTTACCTTACCCCCAACAACTCTTTCAAAGACTGCGTTCGATCTATCCTTCAGCTTCATCTCAAGGTCAATAAAAGTAAGTTTGTTCGTGCTGACCTCAAACTTCCTGTTAGCAAAGAGGGTACCAGATACCCTGTTGTAGCACTCGACAGGAATGTCGACCAGTTTCTTTGGCACGGCACACCAGTCAAATCTGATGGACAAAACACAATGGATCAGTTCAAGGGGAAAACTTTAACAAAATGTTTTCAAATAAAATAAAATGTTATCTGGAAATGTGCCTCAAGTGCTTTTCTTTAACAAATTAACACTCAAAAGAAAATGACTCCCACAAACATTCAAATTAGACTTGCAACTGTTTATTTTTCATATTTACAATTTGAGTAAATTGATTTCTCTAGAAATATTGGAATAATCAATAAAATGATATATTATTTCCATCGAACGTTCTGAAAATGCTTTACTCTATACACTTGTACTCCCTTATATGAAGTCAGGAATTATTGCATTCTTTTATTGCCAAAAAAGGGCACTTTGAATTATAAACAACGCTGGATTGCTCATAGCGACAAATTTGTTAATGAAAATAATATTCTGAAGGTTTTTTTATTCATATTTACTTCAACTTGGTCAATTTATGTTTCAACTTGATACAAAAGAATTACCACGAATATTTAGTATTATATACCTCTCTTTAGAAATCTAGCCATCTGATTGGTCAGAATTGCAGTCGTGATTTTGGATATTCCCGCAAAACGACGAACACATAGTCAATAGTTCATGAGTAATATCCGTTGTCCCGGGTAACATGCCGCATAAATCAATTGTGCTCAGATCCCCATTGGTTTACGTGTTAAACAAATATTTTTGAGGGCGCGGATACCATACAGTGCTTTTTGTCTGCAATACCCAAAATGATTGAAGTTTCAGTCATTTCTCAAGTGAAAATAAACAGAGAGTTTCGTCAGATTTTCCGTGATGTTTTAACCAATGTTTACTCAATAAAAGGATAAGGTAAGAATTCTTGGTAGAATTTTGTTTCAGTTCGGCATATAAAAGAGATATCGACTGCTTTAATATTCCAGGTCTGGCTGATATATAGGCTCTCGAGAACTAATTGCACATCTTGCCATGACCCCTCGGGGCGCCGCCCACCCAGGCGCGCCTCTGGGTCATGGCAAGATGTGCGCGTGTTCTCTTTTGTGGTGGTGGTTATTTTACCTGACTGCTAAGAAAGCATAAATGCTTGTAAGTAAGAAACCGGACGGTCGATGGCTTTAGGTCCTCTCCGAGGGACCTGGTAATGAGTATTAATGCCTTACCAAAAAGGCACTAGCGCATCGACTTGGTTTCGATCCCGGGTCACCGGATTACGAGACCACTGCTCTACCGACTGAGCTATCGCGCCTCCACTTTAAACAGCCAGACCTCTCAAAGCAGTCGATATCTCTATACTATGTTTTCCAAAATTGAACGATATCATACATGTCCTACAACACAGTCAAACCTCTTTCATTTACCGCTTGTAAGAACAGTATCGGCAATAGATACCTTTATGCATAATGGACCTTAACATTTTAATTCACCTGAACCTACTCTGAAAAATGCTTCTACATTGTATTCATATAGACTTCACTTGAAAAAGTTTCTTTTATTACAATATCAAGTGACCTAACGTTGAAAATGCTATTTTTATGTTGCTTCAGTATTTTTTGTGACATTCACATAATATGATGTAGCTTATTTAACCCGAAATGGTTTTCATTGAAGTAATAGTTTCTGCTGCTCTCTCTTTCCCTTCTTTACTATTCTTCTCTCTTAGTACCCTCTCCATTTTTTTCTCCTATCTCTTTTTCCAACTATAATCTTAGTTAGACCCCCTTTTTTTCTAACAGCACATTATCTTCATCTCACTCTTTCCTCCTCTCTTTCTTTTTACGTCACATTTTCTTGTATATTTGTATCTAAGTTATTTAAGGGGGCATATAGTATTGCACACTTCGATTCTCTTATGCCCTACCCCCACACTCTCTCTTCAGCTTAAAACAAACAAGAATATTTTTGTTCTCTTTTATCACTTGATGATACAGGCTGTATTGTGTAATAGTTATTAAGATGTTATAATCTGTGACATTTAAAGTTGTGTTTTCAATTTTATTTTGTTTTGCACTTACCGTATTGTATTAAGATTGTTTGAGATACGTGGAAATAAATAAATAAACTTGAAACTTGAAACTACTACTCACTCTTGGACCAGAGTATAGGGAATAAGCCTTCCATTCCAGTAGCACTCAAATATGGCTTTGCTACCCCTCGCAGGTCTATCTTTGTTGTAATCACTTTCGTCATCGACTTCCTCAGGTACTGCATAAATAAAGCATAAAAATATCATATAGAAGTCAATGTCCAGCTTTGATATAGTAATCTGATAACTTTCCAGAAATCACTATTTCGACCAATGATTGAAAATGTTTTTTCTTTCTTTCTCTCTCTCCCCTCCTCTTTCTCTCTCTCTTTCTCTCTCTCTCTCTTTCTCTTTCTCTCTCTCTTTCTTTCTTTTTCTCTCTCTCCTTCTCACTAGTATACCAGAATTTAACATGTGCTTTATAAAAATGATGCCAAGGACAATGCAAATGTCAACAAACACAAATTGGAGTCGTTTTCAGTGTTAAGTTGAAATGTTATGATAATAATAATAATCCGGTTTTTTTATAACTCTTTGAAAAGTTTTTTTTTCTTAGATCTCCAATTCCTTTAAAAATCATTGAGTCAAATTGAACATCACAAACCAACAAAATATTAAAAACTGTCCCCCACCTGAGCCATCGTCAACTGGATATGACTCCTTGTCGAAGAGGAATGGATGATATCGAAGCACGCCCTCTACCAATCCAGTTCCTTCTACCAAAACACGGAAATCAAACGTGTCCTTGGCAGACCTGATGAAGTTGGATTGGAGGTCGTCATTAATGTCTCTGAGGTTGAGCTGCTGATGCAGTTGGCCCTTCTTGTACATTGTAATGCTGATGTTAAGGTTCTCGTAGGGGCTTGGCGTACGGTACATGGAGTTGGATAGGTGGGACTGGTTGCCTTGTTCACCATGGATGTAGTAGTGGTAGATGTGTCTGTAATGACAATCAGGGAAGACATACCGAAGACATATTAAAGAGCTATATGAAATGGAGTCAAATGCCCCTTATATGAACCTTTACTTAGCCACGATTTTATACCACAACCTATAGCTGGAATTTCTTTACTAAAACATAGTGTTCTGTACCCTTTTACGTGTAAATAGAAAATGTACAAAAGGGCTCCAAAGTAATTTTTCACAGACATCTAATCCCAGGTTTATAAAATTTCCAATGTCTGTTTGGAAACACTCACTCCCTCTTAACACTTTAACAAAGAATTGAAGGGAATGGCGGGAGGGGCTGGGGTTTTAAAATGAAATTTGGGGTTGGTACCGACATTGGAATCAAGAACACAATACGTGAGAGACTTACGCCAGCTGTCTGCTCCATCTGTTGAAGTCTGCTTTGATGAACTTGATGTGTTGTGACTTGATACTGGTGATGACAACGTGGGTGAAGTTCTCCTGGCCTTTTTCTTCTTCGATCAGTTTTTGCAGGTTCTCATTTCCTGGTGATACGTGGCTGCCCTCGCCAGGCTTTAAGTGTGAATTAAATAAAAAAGAAAGAGAAAAGAAACGTTACTGAAATTAGTACCACTGCTTTATCTCATATCTCATGATAATAATAATAATTATCCTTGCTTATATAGCGCCTAACACTTACTTTGCCAGAAGTTTCTAAGCGCTCTACAATAATGAAGCATAATTACCCTGGCTTTAGCAGTGCAACTGTTACGCGCGCTGCGTTTCAAGGAATAAATTCCTACCAGGTATTCATTCACTTCACCTGGGTGGAGTGTGGCAAATGTAGATCAATGTCTTGCCAAAGGACATTAGTGCGGCGGCGAGACTCGAACCGCGGACCTTGTGATCGACAGTCCGGTGACGTATCCACTCGACCACAACACCTCTCATCTTCTGTTGATACTTTATAAACATTACGTAACGTAACCAAAAAAGTGTACCCAACTTTGGTAGCTTCTAGTTAAAAAGTTGACCTTGAATATTCGTTTGTACATAAAAAATTATACCCTGTCTATGATACCATTTTCATAATTGTGCTGCCACGCATGACTTAACAACAGGCCTTTCAAAAAATATTGTCAAAATCCTCTTGTACCAAGTTTGGGCCTAAAGTAACGAATGTGGGTCAAAAGCCATTATGTATTTCATTTCATTAAAAAAAAGCACAATTGCTCATTTATTTATATTGACTATTAGGCAATTAAGTTGAAAAGAAAGGTGTGAATATCATCTCATACTCAACGAAATGTTTATTAACAAGCAAAATTCAAGACGTTCTCTCCGTTATGATGATTGCAATCTAGAGTTCATTCGCATCCCTTGTTCAAAATAACCTACTCATTGAGTGATACAAAATAGATTTTTTTAAATGAAATTCTGCTGTCAGTTTGATATTTAACATTATATGTGATCTTTCTTGCACTTGGTTTTAGTAACCTTATGCGTGTGAAATTGTACAGTGGACAAGTGAGCAGAAAGAACGTAGATATCATGAGACAAGAATTTAGTAGGCTTTTAAAATAGTCGAAGTTTATCCTGTGGATCGTAACAAGGTTCTATGAAAGCCTATAGATCCATTGCATCATTCAAAACATTGAATCACGTGGCATAATTCAACTTTAAAAATAATTTAATACCGAAGAAGCATATACATATGGCCTGACCCACATTGGTTCCTTAAGCTCAAACTTGGAACAAGGCCAATTTGACAATACTTTTTAAAGTGAACCGGTAACATTGTTGAAGGTAGATGAAAAAATGTGTGATTTGTGTAAGAAATGTTACTTATTATAATTGCTTCTACTGTACCAACCCTCTAACATGCAAACAATCCTGAAAAAATTATCAAACCACAAAGATATTTATTGTTTTCATTGAGGGCGCTACTGTGCAACATCTTCTAACAGTAAATTCTCCCAACCAATTTTTGAATTTTCCCAACCGTTTTCCCATGAAAATAAAATATAAAACAGGCTTTTACAAATCTTTCAACAATAAAATGTTTGGAATGGTTTAAAGAGCAAATTAATTACTTTGTGACGATTTACATTCACCTAAAATGTCATTTAATCATAATAATATAGTTGGGAGAATTAAGGAATCGATCAGATCAGTTTTCCAAATTATTATCATTAATAATGGTTCGTTTCTACACAAACTTTCAGTAGTATATTTAATTTTCGTCAAGCATTGAGGTTAATACCTTATCACCATTTTCTCTCATCTGAACAGTCTTAAATAGTCTTTTTAAAGACCCTGCTGCTCATTCACCCGTGGCAGAAATATTATGAATGGTTTATCATTAGACAGAAATAAGTTACTCTTCATCATGAAATCGCTTTCTAAGTCATATTGGTAATGACGTTTATCTAAGGGCTACCAGAGTTTTTATACGCACTGTATATCGATAGATAACTGTCCTCGCGAAGAGCGAAGAGGCATGTTAATAATGAAAGAAACGAGCGTTATATTGTGTAATTAAACACCCACCTGTCTGTTTTGGATGATGCCTCCGTAGATGTCTTCTTTGTTCTTCTCTCTCCTTTCAAACTCTTCCTTTGATACCGTCATCTCATGAACATCCCTAGAACCTTTGGGTTTACTGATCATCTGTCAGAAAACATGTATAACATGGGCAATTTGCACCGAGTCAAACACTATGCACTGGGTATGAAATACATTGCAAAGAACGGGTTAATCTGCCTGTTACATCCTTATACTGCCACAGATTATGACATAGAAAACTTTTCGAAAAATCAATATACTAAATAAATACGTTCATGATTGATTCTTCAAGCCAGTTTGTATTTGTATATTGAATGGTAGAGGACAAAGGATAAATAAAATTAATGATGACTTAATGATCTTGATCTTATTTATCAGTCAATCATGCAGAGTTTTAGTATTCTATAGACTCATTGTGTTCATGGAACTCTTACCAAAAGCTTACAAAGTTGATCTAGAACATCTTTAGAAGATCGCATGACATCTGATAGATAGTAAATTGTAACTCACCTCACTCGTTTTGAAATAACTTCTACAATGAAAGACCCGTTACATTACACTATTATCTTGCACCACATTTAACTTCTGCCGATTAACTCTTTATACGCCAAACAAGTAATCTCTCTGTACCATGAGTGTATTCATCATGGGAAAGATTTATCAAGGGTTCAAGAGTATTTAGCTTATTCAATAGTAAGATTCATCTGTAAAAGTGATACAGAAGTTGGCATGAAGTTAATGATGACTAGAAATGGGTAATCTTGCACGGCCATTATGTTACACAAAGCAATTATTCTGTCGATGGGTGCCTACTGTGGTGGGCGAAATTGCACTTGTGGCAAACAACCGACCGTGCAGAGATGCGAAGAAAGCAATCGAAGTGTTATTAGGCAATGTCCAAGGATACAGGCAAAAAGTTTATAACTCACCCTGGCTGAATCACCAATGAAAAACACTGCTTGCTTTCCTCCTACTCCAAAGAATGAGATGTCACTGTTTAACGATTTGGGAATGTCTCTGTCTCCATCACTGTCAGAACAATAGTTGATCCAAAAAAAAAGAATGAAAAATTTAGTTTACAACACCTAATTTTTGTTTTTGTAAGCCCCCAACACACCGAACTAGTTCTCAATACATTCTGGAAAATGTTGCCAAGCGGGCTGAAACTGTGAACGAAGTTGAATGTAGTAGCAACTGTTTACGATCTGTTTAAGAACTTCATGGACGGGCTCGGACTGGCTATACGGGAGAGTGCTCTAGAACTTTGAGCCTGCTCAAAATTGTCCCCGTCCTGCAATTACACGGAGTGACAACGTACTTAAAACGAGGAGGACGTACTACAAACGGAATGATTGCTGTACTATGAACGGGATCGCCCTACTCCGAACCTACTAGAAAGTGTTACAACGTACTATGGTAAAACATCAATTAGCAGCAGCTAAGCCCCCATCACATCAAACTAGTTCTCACTACGTTCCGGAACTGTCCTAGAAATTCGTTAAAAACGGGTAATGGTTGGGGTAGAATGTGTAAATAATGTCTATAATACGATCCCAGATCGTTTATAAACAGTACTCAAGACGTCCATATCGTCTGTACCCCGTCCACAGTCAGTTTATATAAAGTTCAGATCGGGTTAATTTGCCATTTCCAGGTAGTCCAAGCCCGTCCGTGATCAGACTTTTTAACTAGTTCTACCTCGTTCCCAATACGTCCAAAGCATTCTAACTAGTTCGTAACACTTTCGTTACACGTTCCTAGTAGAACCGAAGTACGGCAATTCCGTTCGTAGCACGTCCATCTCGTTTTAAGTACGTTGTCAGTCCGTCTAATTGCAGGACGGGGATAATTTTGAACAGGCTCAAAGTTTCAGAGCACCCTTCCCGTCCAAGCCAATCCTAGCCCGTTCATAAAGTTATTAAACAGATCGTAAACAGTTTCTTCTACGTTCACTTCGTTCGCACACAGTTTGAGCACGTTTGGCAATATTTTACAAAACGTAGTGAGAACTAGTTTTTGTGATGGGGGCTTCAATTGAATGTCTTGATTAGCTCAGCTTTAATCGTTGAAGATGAACGGGAATAAGGAATAGCACGAACGCACTGGGGTTTTATAACCCATGAGCCAGGATGTAATTCCACACGCTCTAGGAGCTCGTTCGAACGCACTAAAAACGAGATGAGGACAAGCTGAACTGTCTCTGGACTTGTTAGAATGGGTTTGGTCGTATTGGGAACGAGGTAGAACTAGTTAATAATGGGTATAATCTGACTACGGACTGGCTTGAACTGCCTGGACATGGCAAATTTACCCGATCTAAACTTGATATGAACTTACTGTGGACGGGGTACAGACAAGATGGACGTATTGAGGACTGTTTATGAACGAACAAGGGTCGTATAATAGACATTATTTACACATTCTACTCCCACCATAACCCGTTTTACTATTTTATAGGACGGTACCAAAACGTAGTGAGAACTAGTTTGGTGTGATGGGGGCTTAAAAGTTCATGAATTCATAGTCATCTGCTGTGTTAGTATACCATAGAAGTGTATGTTATTATCATGCAATTGCTCTTACTTGGATGGTCTTTTAAACGCAATTAATGAAGAACTAAATCATTGCCCAAGTTTATAATCTCTTCCCCTTTCTGGCAACTGATATTACAATGTTCTAAACTGTTTATATTGTTTTGTCTTTTCATCCTATTCAGTTTCTTTTTCAGTGCTACTAAATTGGTCTGACACTGAATCTACCGCCTGAGACGGCATCATGGATTTACCGTTTAAAGGACTTCAAAATTCAGGTGGATATACACCCAGTAGACATCTAACTTTAAGGTCTATGTCAGGGGCTTTGTGCAAAGATCCTTGACTTGGTTTCATACAGCTAAATGCAGTTTTAAGATGACTACTCTATACATATTTGGTTTTCCTTGTGAATCATTTTGTTTTAAATAAAGTGATGTTACCTATTGTTCCCTTGTTCTAGTCTCTGTCTCTTGCGATTGAATTTAGAGAGTCGAAAGATGGCCCAGTTGTTGAGTTCCCTGGTGGTCATGCCTTTGCCATTGTCAAGAATACAGACCATGTTCTTATCTCCTGTTTCTTCCAGGTACTGTTTGAAAGTGAAACAAAAAGCAGGATACTTAATGGGCTGTTCAGCCATATTTGTATTTATTATTGTATTTATTAACATTTATTTCCTTCTCAACAGCACAATATAAAACACAATGTATATATACATGATATATGTAACAATTATTTCAACATAGAGTATACAGTAATTAATTCAGATACGGAAGGAAGCAAACCCGGAAAGCGTAGCTTGAGTTGGGAACGCCCATAATAAATTTACACAGTTACCGAAAGAACATTATAGATATTATTATGAAAATTACACTGCCATAATTATAAAGCTATTGACTTCCTAAAGTAAAGTAAAAATCCGCTGCCGTAAAGCAAATGCGACATGGTTTTGTCAGCATAGCTGTTGATTTGATTTGATTTCATTTCATTTATTTTCATATTTCTCATAAACATACATATACATATACATTTCAAATAAAGTATAATTTTTTTTCTTCAATAATACATAATAATAACAAAGATAAGTGGTCAATATGAATTACTGATTTAACTAAGAGAAATATGATGGGACCTACATGAAAGCAAGCAAGCTGTAGGCCCCAGTAAAGTATTTGTGGTAATAAATGGAGGACGGATATACATGTAATAGTGACCAGTCTAAATGAATCAAGTGTGAACAAGGCTGCATGCAGAAGGCCACCTCATCAGTTAGAAACTCATCGCTGCCAAAAATGAATGGAACTGTTAGACCTGAATGTTACAAATAACAGTCATTAAGTCTAACCACTGATAATACCAGGCGCGGATCCAGGATTTCTTAGGGTGGGGGCTCAAATTTGAAATCAATTTGAAATTTAGTGTGCTGAAATATGAAAATCATGCCGGCCAATATTTTGCTCAGTGGGGGGGGGGTAGTGAGCACTGGATCCGCCACTGGATAATACTATCAGGTGAAGCAATATTGTTCTTTTTTAATACAAGATATAACTGAAAAGAAATATGAATTAAAGACATGATGTTAAAGAACTTAAGAACCACTTTAGACTACAAGATATTGACTTTTCAGTATTCCATCAAAAGTGTAGTCTTTCCCAGCACCTGTACAAGCATTACATCAGGATACAAACCGTGTACATTTGAGTTTCTAACAAAAGTTATGTGCCTGTCACATTTGTCATAATAGAGACATGACAGTATCAATAACTTCCAAGACTATTTTCATTTACCACCCAAATTCCAATCAGAAATTAACACTTAGCATTTTTGAAGATATTTGGATAACTTTAGGCACATACCAATCTGATTTCTATGTTTCTTGGTCCAACGTTTTTCACCGTGGCTGAAAGTGAGTTGTCTATCAGTTCTGCAATTGCAAATGCTGTTGGGTATAGTAACAAATATTACTAACTGGTGTCATCATGAGACGACGTTAAACATTTATTCTTGTAGAAATTATGTTAATTATAAATTGAAATTTCCAATGATATGTTTAGATATGAAATAGAATACCATTAACAATATCGTTAATGCCATCACGTTATGTCAGTATCACACAGAAACCTTTATTGGCCTTAACACTGCGTCTGTATTTTGATATATAATAAATAATAATGTATTCATTACTGACACCTAAAGCTAAACAGAAGGAAAAACATGGCTCTGTAAGTGTAAGAACGGTGAATCTGAGCAAGTTGTTTGGAAGTAGTAGTGATGAAGCTTAATAGATAAAAGTAAAGAATTAAATACTAGTACCACTGATCACATAATGAAAGATTGCAAAGCTTACGTAGTGGATTCTGTCCTTCGCTGGCATAGTACTCATACATGCCACTCCTGATGATGGTGTCATAGTGGGGTTGGTAATCCACCCTCTCCTGGGTAGGGGCCAGCAAGTCCTGTTTAAGGTGCACAAGCAGTAAGAGAGTGTCTCCATCCTCCACAAGCTCCTCTGAAACGGTAAAAAAAAATGAAATAGTATTAAAGTCCTAAAGGACAGGTATTCATGTACAGGGTAAAACAATTACAAAAAATTACTTTCAATAACTATCTGCCTCAAGAGAATGTTCAGCCTTCTTGAAAGTTTACACCTTATTTGTGGAGTCACATGACTTTTAGTAAGCTTTTGTCAGTAAATAAATGGTGAATCCATTGATTAAACATACAAAAAAATTGAACACTGTATTTTTTAAATTCTTTTTCTCATGGTTAATTGGCATTTCCTTTATCTGAATATGAATGAAAGCTATTTAGATGAAAGCTTCAAAATGACAATTTTTAAAAAATAATGAAACACAGTTGTAATAAAATTGTACTTTTTGCTGTAATTATTGACAATATTTTGAATGTATTTCCATAATAGCAAAGGAGAAATATACCGCCTTTACCATTAATGGCTGGTTGCATTGAAATTATTTATCTTGAAGCTTTAATCTCCATCCATACTTTTCAGTAGGCACTATGAAAAGAAACTTTGGTATTAAATAAGTTTGATAAAAATGCTACAACTACGCTCATGTGTTTTCTGCATGCACTGCATCTTAATTAAATTGATTTATTTGTCCAAAAAAATTGAAATTCATTCCTCATTGGTACAGGTGTATTACAAACAATGTACACAATTATACAAATTATAAAACATAATAACAACACTAGAAATTGAATTCGTCATGGTGACGAATTAGGTGGTCTGTTTTCAATTTTATGATCATTGAAAAGTCAAAAAAAAAAAAAAAAAAAAAATTGTTGGAGACGCCCGGACTCGAACCAGGGACCTCGAGGTCGGAAATCAAGCGCGTTACCGATATACCAAAACATTTCCCATAGAGAATACACGTAAACGGAAAATGAAATTCTCAAATCCCACTTTGCAAGTGAAATATGAGCATGATCCCGTCATCTAATCGAGAAATAAATGGCACACTTGTGATAGCTTATTGTCTCAGCTACAACATACTCAAAGCTCAGCGTAAACAAAGATAAAACGACAGAGATATTGCTCGCGACAGACGAGAATGTAGAATCCAGTTTTGAGAAAAAGTCATGTCCCATAGAGAATACACGCAAAATGTGAAAAATTGACATGCCTCCTTTAATCGCGAAAATACGCCATGATGCCCTTGTCAAAATGAAATATCGTGGTGACTGCATTTGTAGACAATATTCTCAGGTAGAACATATCAAAATTTGGAAGAAATTAATCAATATTTACAAAGATACAATCAATTTTCCAAAAATATGATGACGTCATAATATGCAAATTGAAATTTTGAGTTCGGAGGCCATTATGATGACGTCATGAGTCAATTGAGGGTCAAATGAGACATGGAATCATATCTCCAACTCATGCTTTTTCTAACCATGATATAAAAGTTGGGGTCAATGGACTATCTGAAGAGCTATTATGATTTTTAAAATGGCATGTTTTTGATCAAATTTGCATTATATTGCCCATAGCAGCACGCGCGGATTTTGAACTTTGACGCGCGCTCACGGCCTTATGAAAGGTCAAGGGTGACTGAAAAAAAATGTAAATTGTCATTTACGGTAAGAGGAATCTAAATCATGTAAAAATTTTGAATTTGACCTTTTCCGCGCGCTATGAGCGCGCGCAACGCGCGCGGGGACACTTACGGACGGAAAATTTTGAAATGCTTAAAATGACCTGATTCGTACTCTCCTTTAATAGTTAAGTGATTTTGAGCATTTGTAAATTTTGACGCACGCGTACGTGCGCGTCGTGACCTTTATGTGACCTTTGATGACATGACCTGTTGACCCTTGACCTGAAGTATATGTGATATGAATATGAATGACCTTTGCTTATGCATCACGAAGATATGATGGATAACGTGATTTCACAAAATGGCGCCTGGATGACGTCACGATGACCTGATGACCTTGAAAATGTTCCTGTCACGTATCATGACAATGACCTATGACTGTGTCAAAATTGAAAGAAATTAACACAACCGATCTTGAGTTAATCGATAAACAAAAAACGGGAAGAAATAAAAACTAGAAATTTAATTCGTCATGGGGACGAATTAGGTGGTCTGTCTTCAAGTCTTATGATGTATTATAATATTTACTATATTGAGAAAGGGAGAAGTTATATAGACATGTAAACAATGATGATTATGATGATGATGATGATGATCTTGATAGTAATGGGGATGACGATGATGATGATGATGATCATGATGATGTTGATGATTATCATTAACAGACCACGATGACATCAGACTGAAAAAAATGAGAGAACATTTAGATAGTATATAGTCTCAGCTACAACATACTAAAAAATCAACAAAAATCAAGCCGAAATAACGGCGATATTGCTCGCAAAAGACAAGAATGTAGAATCCAGATTTGAGAAAAAGTCATCTCCCATAAGGATTACACGCAAAAAGTAATGGATCTAGTGATAATAGGGTAATAATAAAGTAAATATGGTTGTTTATTACATTATTTGCGATTGTACTTGTTTTAATATTCAAAGGAGATGGTAGAGTGAATGGTCAAAAAGAAAAAAAGTGAAGAAAAAAAAATTGTTGGAGACGCCCGGACTCGAACCAGGGACCTCGAGGTCGGAAGTCAAGTGCGTTACCGATATACCAAAACATTTCCCATAGAGATTACACGTAAACGGAAAATGGAATGCACAAATCCCACTTTGTAATTGAAATATGAGCATGATCCCGGCATCTGATCGAAAAATAAAGGGCACACTTGTGATAGCTTATTGTCTCAGCTACAACATACTCAAAGTTCAGCGTAAACAAAGCTAAAACGACGGAGATATTGCTCGCAAAAGACAGGATGTAGAATCCAGTTTTGAGAAAAAGTCATGTCCCATAGAGAATACACGCAAAATGTGAAAAATTGACATGCCTCCTTTAATCGCAAAAATACGCCGTGATGCCTTTGTCAAAATGAAATATTGTGGCAACTGCATTTGTAGAAAATTGTCTCAGCTAGATCATATCAAAATTTGGAAGAAAATCAATCAATATTTACAGAGATACAGTCAATTTTCCAGAAAAATACTGACGTCATAATATGCAAATTTAAATTTTGAGTTGGGAGGCCATTATGATGACGTCATGAGTTAATTGAGGGTCAAATGAGACATGAAATCATATTTCCAATTCATACTCTATCAAAATATGGAGAAAAAAATTGGGTTCACTTTGCATCCTAAAGCGCTACAATGGATTTTGTATAGGCATGTTTTTGCCCATGTATGCTATGTATTACAAGAGCTCGCACGCACGGACATTATCTTAAACGGACGCTCATTCCGTTATTACTGGTCAGAAAAAGGTGAACAAGGTATCAAAATGCTTGGAAAAATGTGTCAAACATGATGACAGAAAAAATTCAGCGATTCTATGTTGCAAAATATCAGTACGCGCGAAAACGCGCGCCCATCCGCGTGTGCGCGTTTTTTTGCAAAATGCTTGAAATGGCCTAAAACGTATGCAAAATTAATTTGAGACGATTTGGAGCATTTTTATTTTTTGCGCGCGCGGTGACGCGCGGACGTACGCATGCGCGCGCGTTTTCTGACCTGAAATTGACCGGACGGATATTGACCTTAATCGTGATAAATATGAATGAGAAATGCCTTTCCGTTATGAAGATATGATCATGAGTAAAAAGTACCAACAAAAACACAAAATGGCGCCTGGATGACGTCATGAAAACTTGATGACCTTGAAAATGTTACTCTAACGTCTCATGACAATGACCTATGACTGTGCCAAAACTGAACGAAATTGACTAAACTGATCTTGAGTTATCCTGTTAACAAAAAAGTGTGAAAATAAATAAAATAAATAATAATAATAATAACTAGAAATTTAATTCGTCATGGGGACGAATTAGGTGGTCTGTTTTCAATTTTATGATCATTGAAAAGTCAAAAAGAAGAAAAAAAAGAAAGAAAAAAATTGTTGGAGACTCCCGGACTCGAACCAGGGACCTCGAGGTCGGAAGTCAAGTGCGTTACCGATATGCCAAAACATTTCCCATAGAGATTACACGTAAACGGAAAATAGAATTCACAAATCCCACTTTATAAGTGAAATATGAGCATGATCCCGGCATCTAATCGAAAAATAAAGGGCACACTCGTGATAGCTCATTCTCTCAGCTACATCATACTCAAAGCTCAGCATAAACAAAGATAAAACGATGGAGATATTGCTCGCGAAAGACGAGAATGTAGAATCCAGTTTTGAGAAAAAGTCATGTCTCATAGAGAATACACGCAAAATGTGAAAAATTGACATGCCTGCTTTAATCGCAAAAAATACGCCATGATGCCCTTGTCAAAATGAAAATCGTGGGGACTGCATTTGTAGACAATATTCTCAGGTAGAACATATCAAAATTTGAAAGAAAATGAATTAATATTTACAGAGATACAATCAATTTTATAAAATATGTTGACGTCATAATATGCAAATTGAAATTTTGAGTTCGGAGGCCATTATGATGGCGTCATGAGTTAATTGAGGGTCAAATGACACATGAAATCATATCTCCAACTCATGTTTTTTCCAACCATGATATAAAAGTTGGGGTCAATTGACTATCTGAAGAGCTATTTTGTTTTATAAAATGGGATGTTTTTGATCAAATTTGCATTATAGTGCCCATAGCAGCACGCGCGGATTTTGAACTTTGACGCGCGCTCACGGCCTTATGAAAGGTCAAGAGTGACTGAAATTAATGTAAATTGTCATTTACGGTAAGAGGAATATAAATCATGTAAAACAAATGAATTTGACCTTTTCCGCGCGTTGTGAGCGCGCGCAACGCGCGCGGGGACACTTACGGACGGAAAATGTTGAAATGCTTAAAATGACTTGATTCGTACTCTCCTTTGATAGTTAAGTGATTTTGAGCATTTTGATATTTTGACGCACGCGTACGCGCGCGTCG